GTCGCGACGTCGTCGTCTCTTCTCTCTCTCTCTCTCTCTCTCTCTCTCTCTCTCTCTCTCTCTCTCTCCGGATTCGCTTTTCGCAGATGCGGCACTCAACACTCCATTTCACCGTCCCTGTCTGAGCTGACTCGTTGCGTCGCCACAAGCTGATGCACGCCGCCAAGCCCACCCTTCCATGATGCTTACGGCAGCTCAATACTAATAAGACGCTCCTAAGGTCAAAGAGACAGGGGTCCGCTTCATCCCAAGTTTGCGACGGTCACTTTTTTCTGTCAGTGGTGCGAGCCGCCCAATCCCGCGTGGTCGGGGGCTTGACGCTTACAAATCCGAGTAAACACACATAATTTTGATGCCGAGACAGTTGCCAACTACAATTTAATAACTATTCCCATACATGCGAACATAACGACGCCTGTGTAGAAGCACCCGTACAAGAGGTCGCTTATGCCAACGCCAAAGTCTGGTCGTCTCTGATGACACCGACAACGCCGAGTCCTGCCTCGCCCCCAGAAACACAGGGGCCTCTGACAAAAATCTGTAGTTGGAGTAGTTAGCGATGCAGGCCATTTTACTAGCATAAATGTGGTTTTTCATTGGTACAGAGACGAAAAGAGGGGGAAAAACTCACCTCGCCTTCGGCCTGCTCGTCTGTCGTCTTGTGGTTGCCTGAATCCTTGAGTATCACCTCGACGCTGCTCGTCGGCGAGCCAAAGTGTCCCTTGACATCGCCAACCTCGGCTCGGTAATCGTAAAACGCCGTTTGCGCCACTGCGCCCGCCACTTTGGCCGCCGCGAGCGCGTACACGATCCTCGCGCCAGTCAAGATGCGCAGGTCCGTCAGCACCGCCGGTGACAGGCCAGGCGTCTGCTGGCTGCCCGCGCGGTCCGCCGTGTAAATCAGGCGCAGTTGGCCGGGTGTGGTGCCCAGCACCAGCTTGGCCGTCGCCGCAAATGCCGACAGTACGTTGGCCGTTGCCATGATGCCCTCGTTGACGAGCTTGCGCTTCGACAGCGAGTGGGCGAGCGTGCCCAGCGGCGCGGGGAGCCGCGCCATGGCACGCGAGTGCAACGACAGGAGCACCGCCGTGTCGGCGACAATGACAGTCGGTGCGATGCCCTGCGTGGCCAGGGCCAGGTCGGAGACGCGCGACCCGGCAGCCGAGTTGAGCGCAACCGACGCATTCGAATAAAGCGCAGCCAGGGTGACGACCAGCGTGTTGATGTCGGTCAGGGCGGAGGTGGGGAGGAAGAGATCGGCGTTGGTGAGACGCGCTTTAGTAGGAATAGCAGCCAGCTGGCCAGCAATGCCGGCCACGAGGTTAGCCTGCGTGAAGCGCACCATCTCCTGCTGCACGGCGCCGGGCTTGCCGCTCTGCCAAAAGGTCACAAGGTCGCCCGCAGCAGAAACGTCGGCATCCGCAGCGGGGGCAGCCTGGAGCACGCGGCCGGCGTCCGCAGGGGCGTCGCGCACAATGTCCTGCCAGGTAGCGACGCTGACGCTGCCACCGATGCCCTCAGGCACCTCGTTCCAGTCCATGTGGGCGCTGCCCTGGTCCACAACCCAGACGAGCTGGCGCAGGCCCTTATAGGCCTTGACGACGGCATCAAGAGGAAACTCGCCGGTGGCGGAGATTACGGTGTCGACGGCGGACCGGCGCAGCATGGACACGAGCTGGTCCTCGCGCACGCCAAAGGGGATCAGCACCGCCGTCAGGTTCTTGCTAAAGGCGCAGGCGAACAGCGCGGCGAGCAGCTCAATCGAGTTTGGCAGGTAAATAGCGACGCGGATGCCGCCCTGGTCGGTAATGTGCTGGCCGATGAGGTTGATCTGTCGGGTAATGTCCTCTGTACGCGCGCGCAAAGTTAGCAGCCAGGCTTGTTTTTATCAAAAATCACCGCGCTGCGGCATCGTCTCGGTGTCTAACCGGCGTCTTACCAGGGTTGTGCTCCTCGAGATTCTGCGAGCCGTGCACCGTGAGGAGCTTGCCCTTGGCGCCCGCGTCGCCAGCCAGCACCACTTTGCGCCAGACGTCACGGAGATCGCCATCGCGGCCGCGCGCCCACTTGGAAGCGCCAGGGGACTTGACGTTGAGGCCGGCGTTCAGAGGCATGCCGTGCGGTGCCAACGGCGAGCGGTAGACGGCGCTCTCGCCCTCCTTGCGCACCGTGGAAGCCGTCGACTGGCGTGCCAGCAGAATGGGGTGTACATCAGGGTCGGCCGCGTGGAAGATGCGGTATCCAAGAACGACGACGAGAACCGTCACCAGACCGGTCGAGTAGGCGTTCCATTGGCCAAAGAGTCCTGTGAGCCCGGCATCGAGCGCCTCGAGGACGTTGCTCATTCTGATGTGCTGTTTTGGCGTGTGCGTTTCGTGATTGTGGGCTTGGGCTTCGTTGCGTACTCGCTCTCCGAGTGTATCGCTGAGCTATCCAAGTAGCAGGCGTACGTAATCCGACACCGTTTATTGTCCGTTGGAATTGGAAATGGCAATTTCGCGGCAGGAATGTCGCCCGAGGCTTGATGATGAAGAGAGGGGAAAGGTTGCGGAACAAGTTGCCGTGGTAAAAGAGAGAGGCGGCGCACAGCTTCCCAGCTTCTGGTCCGCTGTGGTGGGTTTCAAGGCACCTACAGTGGGTGTACCTGTTTATTAGTACCCGAGTTCCCGTCGGAGCCTTGGCCACGCGGGGCGATCCCGCCGCCCCTCCAAATTCATCAATAACTACATCAATACAACAGCCAGCCAGTCTTGTAGTCTGCTCTGCAGCTCTTCGTAATCAATCTCGGCAAATACAGTACGCGACATGATTGATAATATCGCTGTAACAATGCAACAACCTAAGCAGCAGTCATCATTGTTCGCCACAACGTACGTCATCACCATCAAAGTCGCGCATACATTTCATCTTATCCTTCAAACACGACATCACCCTTCATCACACGCAACGCGTCTGAACAAATTCGCAAGTACAAAACATTCGAAATTTTTTTAAACCTTGGACTGCCCAGTCCACTCTGGTTGTCTGTCTATCACGGGGGCATAGCCCATGTACAAAGTCTCGTCTGTGACCTCCTCCGTCAAGAGGCCTCTACCTTGGCAATCCGTCCACTTTCTCTCTCGGCCAAGTCAAAACCTTTCATGCCCCATGTCCTCATGACTTCAAAGAGCAACAACATATTACCATGCCATCCCAACCGAAATCCATCGAACAGTTGGTGTCGAGATGCACCCCTTCTTGCTCTTCGATTTCGAAACACAGAAAACCAATATGTTGACCGCTCCAGTCTAATGCTTATCGCTCATAAAAAAAATAAAAATCCTTTCCCACAGGCATCCTTCTGTGCCGTGGTCGAGCGTCAAGCACATACCGACCGGAAAACCGAGTAATCCACTTTTGTCTATAGAGTAAAGCACGACGAGAACATGACCTCTCGTATGAAATTGAGGAAAAAAACAAAAACCATATTTCCTCAGCGGGGGTATTTCCCAATGTAGAAAGCAAAAAATGAGCAAGTCGTAGTGCCGTAAAATGAATCCAGTCTCTCCGCGCCAGATTCTGTCGCACCACGCTCTGCTGGTGTGTCCTTGTTCAAATTCCTCACGACTCCGTCTATGGGTATCAAGCGAGGAGGAAGTTGAAATCAAACAAATGCAATCTATCACATACGTGTCGTGAAATGCCCCGGGACCGTGACCCGAGCGCTATGAGAAGTGAAACACCGTCACTCGATAGCGCAGGTCATGTGCCGCCGTGTCGCCAGAAATATCAATGCAATAGCGTCCAAAGGGTCGTAAAAAGTAAAACAATTCGCAAGAAGAAGAATAGTCGACAAAGCAGAAAAATCGATGCATGCCGCAACAGTGCGAGGGAGCAAGTGACAGAAAGCATCTGTCTAGAGAAGCGACGTGGCCTCTCTGGGTGCGAGGCTACCAGTATTGAGGACTCGATAGCACGCAGTGGCCGATAGTGTGCTTTACCACCAAGACTGGTTGCCAGGGCCGGAGGGGTTACCGTAACTGCCACCACCACCGCCACCGCCGTAGCCGCCGCCACCGCCGTTGTAGCCGCCACCGCCACCGCTGTAGCCACCCTGGCCACCACCGAAGCTACCACCGCCCTGGCCGCTTCCGAAGCCGCCGCCGAGGCCACCCGGGCCGCCCACCTTGCGGTAATCGCGGTTGGCAGCACCACGGCCGCCGCCGCCGCCGCCGCGGGAGCGACCACCGCGACCACCGCCGCCGAAGGAAGACTCACGCGCAATGGCCTCGAGGAATGAAGGGACCTCTTGGTTCGCCTCCTTGAGAAGATCCAAGAGCTCACGAACAACACCCCGGTTGCCACGGTTGAAGAAAGCGGTGGCGATACCAGTGTTACCAGCACGACCGGTACGACCAATACGATGAACGTAGTCGTCGATGTCGGTGGGCAGGTCGTAGTTTACGACGTGAGTAACGTTGGGGATATCGAGACCACGAGCAGCGACAGCAGTAGCCACCATAATGGGGCAGCGGCCGTTACGGAAAAACTCGAGAGCACGCTCACGCTCACGCTGAGTGCGGTCGCCGTGAATAGAGGTGGCGGGGAAGCTCTGGTTGATGAGAAAGTCGGAGAGCGAATCGGCCATGCGCTTGGTCTCAACGAAAATGAGGGTGAGGCCACCAGCGTTGGTGTGGAGAATATCAAGGAGGACTGAGCGCTTGTCGACATCCTCAACATACTCAACCTTCTGGGTAATGTTCTCCGAGGTGGAACCAACGCGACCAACGGAAAGGAAGACGTAGTCCTTGAGGAAATCGCGAGCGAGCACCTGGATATCGCGGGGGAAGGTGGCCGAGAACATGAGAGTCTGACGGTCAGTGACACCGGGCATGTCCTCGCCCTCGACAATGCGGCGAATCTGGGGCTCGAAACCCATGTCCAGCATGCGATCGGCCTCGTCGAGCACAAGGTACTTAATGTTGCACAGAGAGATGCGGCCACGCTCAATGAGATCGACAAGTCGACCGGGGGTGGCGACGAGCAGATCGCATCCACGCTCAATCTGACGGAGCTGAGAGCCAATATCGGCACCACCGTACACGACGCAAGGGCGAACCCAAGAGCGGTAAGCAAACTTGCGAGACTCCTCATAGATCTGAGAGACGAGCTCACGAGTGGGGGCCAGGACAAGGGCGGTGGGGTGGGCCTTGCGCTGGCGACCGAACTGGCCAGGAGCACCGCCGGGAACGGCCGAGGGTCCATTGATGAAGGACTGGCCGAGGATAGGGAAAAGGAAACCACCCGTCTTGCCAGAACCGGTCTGGGCACAAGCCATCAGATCACGACCACCCATGACAATGGGGATAGAGTACTTCTGAACAGGCGTGGGGGTCTTGTAGCGGGCAAGCTCGATGTTGCGGCACAGATGCTCGTCCAGAGGGGGCGAGGTGAAGTTGTGAACAGGCTCTGGGACATCGTGGCCGGAAGCCTCGACAGGAATGTCGTCATACTTCTCGAAGTTGATACCAGTGTGCTGCTTCGAAGGGTCGTCGGCGGTACCAAAAAGCTCACGCTCAACGCGTGGGTTGGCAGGGCCGGGAATATGTTTGCCATCGCGCCACTGGCCATCACCAGAGCCGCGTGCAGAATAATTGCCGCCGCCTTGGCCGCCGCCCTGGCCACCCTCGTGGCCACCACCACCGGAGTAACCACCACGGCCGCCCCAGCCGCCACGTCGGTTGTTACCCTGGAAGCCGCCCGCCGGGGCTTCGCCGCCAAAGTTTCTACCGCCGCCATAGCCACCTTGGTTTCTGTGATGAGTTAGTAAAACTGGTTGAGATGAGACATATCGAGGGGTTTCAACGTACCCAGACCAAGAGCCGCCGCCGTTGGTAGGAGCAGCGCCAGGAGCAGCGCCAGGAAGAGGGCCAGGGACAGGAGGACCAGGGGCCAGAGCCGGGGCCGGAGCCGGAGCCGGAGCAACGCCGTTTTCTGCGGCAGGGGGGGGGCAGCGCTGGCACCACCACGGCCGCGCAGGTGGGGAGGGATATAGGAGCGCGCGTGGCCATCAGCAATGCTGAGGCCGTTCATGTTGATTTGATCCGCCATGTTCACGTTTGGAATCGGGAAATTTGCTTGTGTAGTTCAGATCGGGGTTTGAAGTACAAGTCGTCGGATAGGTTCGAACAATAATACCGTCAGAGTCGAAGGAGAGGAATTCGGAGTACCTGCGTCGAACAGAAGAGACAGGCAAGGATGTCGAAAGATGTCGAGAGGGAGAGAAAACGGAAGTCGTGTTGCTCCGTCAGGTATCCCGCGTCGAAAATTAATCAGGGCAGCACTCGCAAGTACCAGCTGCTTTCCTCGAAAGAACACAATATCTTCAAAGGAGAGACCAAAGAAAAAGGGAATGTGTCGAGGAAGAAAATGACAAGGATGAGAGGAGAGAGGATATGTTTTTTGGGGGGTGAAGGGGTTTGGGTTTTGTGTGAGAAGAAAAGGGACAAGGCAGTCAAGTCATGGAGGCGAAAAAAATGGGCCGGGCGAGGAAAAAAAATCTTGGGCCAAGCGCCACCGAAAGGGGCTTAGCGGGACTCTCAGGAGGCAGCAGTCAAGCAGATACTTGGAACTTTGGCAGGCAAAAGGCAAAATTGTTTTAGTGGGGCTCAACCAGCGAGGCATTCGGCCGGTCCGGCGGTCATTGAGCCGGCTATCTACCTTGTGCCTTTTGGCTTATTATATTGACAAAGCTGAGGTGACTGAATAATGCCGATGATGTGGTTGGCGTTTGACGCCAGGGTGGGTGGTGAGACCAGCAAAGACGGGCATCAGCATGGAAAATACAACGTGCACAGGCTGCCCGTTTGGTTGCGACAACGCGCTATTCACCGCCTCCAGCGTGCAATGTTGTTGAACGATAGTGCAACGCACCTATTAAACCGCTTCTAATTTTAGCGTGACTTGTGCACCCATTGCCCCGGATTCTCGTCAGCCTGTGGTACTCACCAGGCACCACTTTAGCCAACGATACCCTACAAGACGACACTGTTGCGCGGCCCCCATATCAACAGTGCGTTCTGAGTAATTTGTATCTAGCGATGGACCAAATCGACGTTGTTGACCGATGTGTCAGACATTCCTGACAAGTATTTCGGTTGGGCTTTGCGTCGCAGTGAGGCCCAATCTCTCCCCGACACGGCGAGAAAAAAAAAGAATCGCCACTAACTATTTACAGCGTCCATCTAGGTGGTTGAGAACCTACTCACTTTCACTCGCGCCGTGCACATTCATCGCTGCATTTCCGGCTATATACCTAGGCTATTAACCGTTAATCGTGCATTGAATGATCATCGCATTTCTAGGTAGGCACTAATTTGAAGAGCCCCCAAACCCCATATGACTGGCTACCTACCTAGAGGTATGCATAATAATAGGCCCGCCACCACACCTACACGTATTCTGAACGACGTCACCTCACAAGATAATACATGCACAACAACGCTGCAGTAAGGAATAAGAGATCTAGCCATGCCTGCCACGGTTGCCAAGAGACTCGTTTCATACATGTCATCGATGACCCTAAAAACTCGGCACTTGCGCTATCCGCGCGCTAGCAGATGAAGCACTTCAACCCCCCCTTGATGTCGCCGCGACGAGACGCAAAGCAAAGACATTTCACTCTCCAACTCATCCTGGCGTATTAGTCTATGCTATTGACAGGACAAGCGCTCATCGGACAGAAGAAACCTTTCACCGTCCCCGTTCCTTTGGATCGCGCAGGGCTTGACCTGCGCAAGTACAACCATGCTCTGCTCCCATCGCGCCGAAGGCTTCGTATGTCATCCTACCGCGTTTCAGGCCCCCCCCCCCCCCCCGGCCCCGTATGGAAGGAAGCGAAAAGGCTGACCACACAATAGAGCACGCACTCAACGCAGTCGTCGCCAATCCCGACATCATGCTTCGTTGACGCCATCCTCGTTCCGCTACCCGTCTGGATCGCGCTCACCGCGCTCGTGGTGCTGCTTCTGGTGCCGAAGCACCTCATCACAGGGCTTCTCGCCGCCGAGCCTCGCAGACACCAACAGCCGTCATGGCTGTATCGGATCATTGCTGGGACCTACTACGTTCTCATCCTCTGCAACATTCTCATGCACACTCTTGAAATCGTGAGGCTGTCACTGATCCATTTTGGGATCGCGCTTCTTCCGTTTGCCTATGTCGGTCTCCTCCTGGGTGCGGCTTTGCACTGGTCAAGAGGTGCTGCGGGCAGGGTGTCTGCGTGGCTGCTCGTCAACATGGTCGTGTGGCTCGGAGGGATGGTCATGTCCATTGTCAAAGTCATTGGGCTGGACGGGGAGGACGACTTGCGCAAGGGCTCCAAGTATCCGATGAGTGATCAAGTTCTTGACGTGGCCGTGATTGCGGGCGTGTATGGGGCGATTGCCGCCCTCGAGCTCGTGATGGGATTGTGGAGGCGGCGAAATCACAACCTGCTCAAGTGAGCAGCGATGCGATGGTTTTACAGTGTCCTGCTCCAGTAGATGATACCAATAATTGCGTCAATTCGTTAGATAATACCTAATTTGTCATTCAGAAGTTTGAATGGAATTCTAATTCTATGAGAATTCAATGCTAAAATTCTCAGGATCCAACTTGCCTGGAAATTCAACACTCAATGTGATGATTCACAAAATAATAAAAGACAGTGGCTGAAATTCGAGATTTGTACAAATATGATGGTCATTCCTCATCATTGACAATGCCATTTATATACAGTTATTCACAAGCGAAATTCACTTCCGCCCTCCCGGCTTGACCGGCGTGAGGAAGCGTCTCTTCTCGTGCGCGTGCTCGTCGGCCAGGAACTTGGGCGGCGGTAGGTCGTAGCCCATCGACTCGACGTACTCGGCGATGCGGTCAAAGTCGCGGCACTTGTGGTGGGTGTTGAAGTCGGCCTTGCGATCAAAGTCGGGGTCGTCAAAGTGCTGGTTGAGCACGGGCGTAATGTCGGCGTAGCACATGAGCGACAGGCGCAGGGTTTCGAAGCAGTGGTCGACGTGCATGCGGCCGAGCACCGGGTTGTCCCAGAGGAAGTCGGGGTACAGATCGCCCCAGTCCTTGGAGAACTGCGCAATGGGCCAGCTGTGTTGGCGGATGAGATTCTGCGACGCACGAGCGGTTAGTCAGGGCGGCGACACGAGAGGAGGGCCGGCCGTGGGGCGCATTCGTACCAGGCAGTGCAGCTGGTGGAAGACTTCGGCAATCGCTCCGTAGGTAGGCTCCTCCGGGTCGCTACCGACGACTTCGTAGTACAGGTCTGGGTCTGTTTTGTTGAGGGCATATATGCCCGCTCTGCTGACGGGCATGGCGTGGTCTGAACCTCGGTTGTAATCAGATTAGAGAAGGGCTTCTGAGAGAGTCGAGAAGAAGAGCACATACGGTACCACAGCGAGTTCCAAGCCGTCTCGCGCTCCAATGTCGGAGGTCCCCTGTATATCGTCGAGTGGTTGAAGTAGTTGACCAAGTCGCCCTCGGTGTGCTCGACGGCTGGCCATAGCGACGCTACAAAGAATAGCATAAACGTCAGCAAATCTGCGAAAAACGAGCCCTCCCCCCCACAATCGGACCAACCCTCTTCCAACGCGGGCCTACATACACCAGGGCGATACCATCTGGTCGCACTCAAGCATCGACGGCTTTCGGACCACCGCGGTGCCCACGAGCGCAGACAGCGATACTACGAGCAGCCCGACGGCGACGTACATGAAGCGCCGCGCGCGCCGCTCGAGCTTCTGCGCCGCCCGGAGGCGCATCGAAGCGGCGTGCTCGTCGCCGTCGCCGTCGCCGTCATTGTCTACCGGCTCGTACTTGCGGTCCTTGGCCATGGTTCGCTGGCTGGGCGCGGCCCTCTCTGCGATTCGTTGTGTTCTCAATCGGTGGCGGAGATGGTAGTCCTCATTGACCGAGGCGCTCGTGCCGTTTTATTGTCGTTGTTGGCTGGAATTTTGCCTCCCAGTGCCGTTCCTGCAATCTGCGTTTCGCTGTTGGCGTTTTGCTGGCCATTGGTGTGCGGGGCTTCGGCCCGTACCTTTGCGCAGCGCTAGCCGAACTGGAAATGTTTGTACAGTGCGGCAAACATGCGACCCCTGACAACCTGTCAATGCCAAAGATTTCAAAAAGAAGTCTTGGATGGAGTCGCCGTATTTTTTCTGTTATTCTCACGTCCTCACCAACGCTCAATTATGGTGTATGCTGTGCCTTGAGCTCAGCTGAAAATCTATCTGTGTGGCCCTGGAGCAGTTTTACATTTGTGCCGTACTGGTAACATTACGAGGCTCACCTAGTATATAATAAAAATCGTTAGATAATACCCCCTTGTCCACGAAAATGCGAACTAAGACACCTCACCGCCGGGTCTCCGAGTTCTCAGTATGACATGCTGGCTCCAGCATGACCATGTGTCACATGTAAGTGAGGACGCCGGCCAAGCCTGTTAGTTGACGAGGGAGTGCGCGTCTACTTTGAAGTTCGTTATCTTACCTTTTGTTCTTGAACAATGAGCTCCTGGAGCCACTCAACCGGCACAATGTGCCGACTAGATCAAAATGAATACCTTCACAAGTACCATACAACTGCAAGTCACTGAACGCCCGTCTCGTTGCCAGCTTATCACATCAGGCAGCTGCTTGCACATTACAGGCGAAGAGAAGATACTGTAATATAAAGCGGCTAGATAACCTACATAAATCAATGTGACAATACAATTCTACAAATCAAATTTACAACAGTAGAAGTTCTATGAGTCGTGACAAGATATATTCGCTGCCCCCATTCTACAGCTTCGGCTTGACGAGCGATCCGTTTTCGTCACGGTACGTCGCCAAATGGTTCCGCTTGCTGTCGCCACCGTGCGAGACTTGCAAGGGCGCGTCAAAAACGGTAGCCCTCGCGTCACCCAGCCTGCGGTCCATTTCGACGTACTCGCGCTCGCCTTCGCCTTGGTACAGCTGGCGAGGTCGCCAGATCTTGACGCCGGTAGGCGTGAGCATCTGCTGGCGCCAGTGGGCAAGCCATCCTACGCACCGAGGGACGGCAAAGAGAACGGGGTAGAAGCTGCAGTTTTATTTTTCCGTCAGTCACTTTGCCCTGGGCTGGGGGGTTGGGGGTTGGGGGGGTTTTGATTGAATACGTACTCGAGCGGGAAGCCCATGGCCTGGTAGATGAGACCAGAGTAAAAGTCGACGTTGGGGTACAGGTTGCGGCTGCGCATAAACTCGCTCTGGCCGGCGTACTCGGCGAGGGCGATGGCGGTGTCCAGGAGCTCGTTGCGGCCGGTGACGGCAAAGACCTCCTCGGCGAGGGCGCGGATGGCCTTGGAGCGGGGGTCGACGTTCTTGTAGACGCGGTGGCCGAAGCCGACGAGGACGCGCTCGCGCTTCTCGACGCTGCGCATAAAGGCGGGGACGTTGTCGGGGCTGCCAATCTCCATGAGCATGCGGATGGCGCTCTCGGAGGCGCCGCCGTGCGAAGGGCCGTAGAGGGCGGCGCAGCCGGCGGCGACGGCGCTGTACGGGTCCACGAGCGAGGACCCGACCTGCAGGACGGTGGCGGTGGAGCAGTTGACCTCGTGGTCGGCGTGGAGGATGAAGAGGGCGTCGAGCGCGCGCTCGAGCACCGGGTGCGGCTGGTACTCGTGGCCCGACAGGTTGTCGAGCAGGTACAGGAAGTTGCCCGTGTACGAGAGGCCCTGCGCGGGGCGGTTGAACGGGCGCCCCTGGCGCATGCGGTACGACGCCGCGGCGAGCGTCGGGGCCTTGCCGATGATGCGCAGGATCTGCTTGTCGAGGGCGCGCAGCGCGGCGGCGTCGCCGGCGGCGGCGGCCGTGTACAGCTTCTGCCCCTGCAGCGAGGGGTTGGCCTCGGGCGCAAAGGCGCCGAGGGTGGCAAAGGCGGCCGTCATCATGGCCATGGGGTGCGAGTCGTAGCGGAACGACTGGAACATGCCCTCAATGTCGGTGTGGATGTACGTGTGGTGCAGGATCTCCTGCTGCCAGGCGGCGTGCTGCGGCGCCGTGGGCAGCTGCCCGTACACGAGCAGGTAGGCCGTCTCGAGGAAGCTGCTGCGGCCGACGAGCTGCTCGATGGGGTAGCCGCGGTACCGCAGGATGCCGTCCTGCCCGTTGATGTAGGTGATGCGGCTCCGGATCGCGGCCGTGTTCATGTACGCCGGGTCGTAGACGCGCAGGCCCTGCGTGGTCTCGTCCTCGGCGCGGTCGCCCTCCTGCGGCGGCGCGGCAATCTTCTTGATGTCGGTCGCTAGCACCGCATTGTTCTGGATGGGCACCTCGTAGGCCTTGCCCGTGCGGTTGTCGACGACGGACAGCGTCTGGCGCGGCGCGACCGTCTTTTGCGTCATGGCTGTTTGCGGGGGGTGGGGTGAAGGAAGGAGGGGGAGGTTGGGACAAGGAAAAGAAGAAGGAATCGCAAGACTGGGGTATCTTGAAGCTGTCAAGGCCTTGTTACAAATTTGTATGAAGATGAAATGATGAGCCTTTAATCCAACGGTTGATAAGCTGGTTCGGCTTAAGCTATCTACTAGCTCGACGCCTCCGTTTGCAACAGCGGTTCAGTGTAGTTCAGCGATTGCTGGCACATGCCCAGAACGGCCAGCGCGGCGCCTGCGTCCCTGTAAGAACCCAGGAGGCTGTGCTCCACCAGGACCGAGGCAAATCCTGTGGAAGTCATTGTCAGCCGAAGTCCTCTATTATTAGTTAGTTGGATTGGGCTGCTCCGTGGTGTGTGTGACCAGTCTTGGTGGTTTTGCTGCACGAATTTGGTCTGCTGAGCCGCTCTAGGTCTCTCGATCGCTGCTATTACAGTTGGTGGTCAGCTATCCCAACGGCCGTCTCGGGGCAGCGGAACAGGCACATGCGTCTTGAGTGTGCACGCGCTGGCCCGACACAGGTTACGCTGACAGCAAGTTTCGCCGGAAAACAGGTCCTCGCTCGGAAAAGGCAGGCTTCGTTTCGACCGCCACAATCATTAGTTACTCGGGGTTCTTCGCTTCGGGCACAAAAGCCCTCATGCGGCGTGTTCCGTAGCCTTCCGTCAACGCCATGACAGAAGCGGAAACACAAAGCTTTGGAAGAAAGGAAGCATGCCCAACTACATAATATTTCATAAAATCTTCAAGAAATCACAAAGGCAATAGTGGAAACTCGTCGCCTACAAATGATGTGATGCGAAAAATCGTTGCTGGTAGCGGTACCCCCCAAAACTAGCCCCGTTGTCCCGATGCAATTCTCCCAACGCCAACCGATCGAAGATGTCAGTTAAAAAAAAAAAAAAAAGAAAAAGAAAATTGAGACGAGAATCTCGAGTCTCGGGTATCATATATCCAAAAGTTTGGCCATCATGTCAAGGTAGTTTTTGTCAATTCAAAGCTACTACAAGTTCCCTTTGCGAGTCCAGTCTTGTATTCAGTTCACAAGAGCACAAAAGAAGAAAGGAAATCCAATCAAGCAGCAAACCATGATCCAGTGCGTAGTAAAAGTTGCAAGAAATTCGTATCCGGTGTACATTTCTTTGTCTCGAGACAAGCTGCGTGTTCAAGTGGCGACAGACTCGGTCGTGTCGCCGGTGATGTAGAAGGGGGTGTCCGTTCCCTTTACAGCTTCGCTGCGGGAGCGGGAGAGCCAGGAGCAGTGATTTCATCGTACAAAAGGCTACGGATAAAAGTCAGCAACATGGAATCTCACACAAAAACGGGTAACTGTTTGAGGGCGGGGTCACATACCTGGTCAGGAAATCGGCATAGTCCTCGCCAGTGACCTGGCCGGCAAAGTGCTGCGCAGCAAGCTGGAACTTGTTGCCCTTGCCAGCCTTGGAGGACAGCTCGTTGGCGCTCTCCTTGAGGAGCTTGAGGGCGTAGGCCTTGTCGACGCGCTTGCCCTCGGCGGTGGTGACGCCGTGGCGCGTCCACTGCCAGAGCTGACTGCGGGAGACTTCGGCGGTGGCAGCATCCTCCCTGTTTGACTGGTTAGGATTGTCAAGGTAAAAAAAAGAAAAAAAGAAAAACACTACTAATTCAGAAAACAGACTTACATGAGAAAGTTCATGGGGACGCAGCCGACGCCGCGGATCCAGGCCTCCATGTAGCCGAGGCCAATGTTGAGGTTCTTCTTGATGCCCTCCTCGGTGATGCTGCCGGGGACGTTCATGTTGAGCAGGTCGTTTTGGCCAATCTTGACGTCTTCGCGGCGGACAAAGAGCTGGTTGGGGGTGGGCATGTGGGTGTTGAAGACGTCGAGGGCGATGGCGGCGAGGGCCGGGTGGGCGACCCAGGTGCCGTCGTGGCCGGCGCGGACCTCGCGCAGCTTGTCGGCGCGGACGTTGGCCATGGCGACGTCGTTGGCCTGCTTGTCGTCCTTGATGGGGATCTGGGCGGCCATGCCGCCCATGGCGTGGACGCCGCGCTTGTGGCAGGTCTGGATGAGCAGCTTGACGTAGGCGTCCATAAAGGGCACCGTCATGGTGACGACGGACCGGTCGGGCAGGACAAAGTTGGGGTTGAGGCGGAACTTTTTGATGACGGAGAAGATGTAGTCCCAGCGGCCGCAGTTGAGGCCGGCCGAGTGGTCGCGCAGCTCGTAGATGATCTCGTCCATCTCAAACGCGGCCAGGATGGTCTCGATGAGCACGGTGCCGCGGATGGTGCCGCGCGGCATGCCAATGTAGTCCTGGGCCAGGTTGAAGACGTCGTTCCACAGCCGCGCCTCGAGGTGGCTCTCCATCTTGGGCAGGTAAAAGTACGGCCCGTAGCCGCGGCGCTGGTACTCGGCGGCGTTGTGGAAAAAGTACAGGCCAAAGTCGAAGAGCGAGCCCGACATGGGCGCGCCGTCGACGGTGACGTGCTTCTCCTCGAGGTGCCAGCCGCGCGGGCGCACGATGAGCGTCGGGTGCTTGCGGTCCGTCCGCAGCTTGTACTCCTTGGCGCCCTGCTTGAAGTCGACCTGCCCGCGGATGGCGTCGTAGAGGTTGACCTGGCCGTTGATCATGTTGTCCCAGGTGGGAGCGGACGAGTCTGGCGGGTGTTGTCAGTCATGTTTGTTCCGGTGCTTTGCGTCATGTTGCGTTTGCGGAGGAGGGGAGAGCGGCGAAAGGGCAAATGAGAGGGAGCCATGCTTTCGAATGGACGTCAACCATGGTCGCTCGCTCATCCTCCAAAGCTGTTTCCAGTCCTCGCCAACCAACCAGTAGCTCGGCTTTGGTGTTGTGGACTGTCACAAGCTCTGGCTGCTCCCCCGGCCCATCGAGGTACCCCACGCCCCACTTCTTTTCGGAGCAGCGCGCGAGTACCCGGGCCGAGCACGAGCAGACAGCTTTGCACCCGAGGCATTGGCAGCCAGGCAGTGGAAAATGGCGAGGCACAGTGAGTTTCAGAACTGGCCCAGATGGATTGCCCAAAGATTGGGCAAAAGACGGCACAGCGAAAGATGCAATCTCCAGTGCCACCATTCCAAGCTTCACACGCACCCAGCACCCACAACAAACCCGTTGAACAGAGCCGCATCGTAGGGCCAGCTGAGCCGGGGTTGTAGTGGATTTGGCTTACTAGATGCGCATGGCCGTGGCCGCCAAAAGAGGAAATCTCGTGTGTGCCGTTCAAGATGTTGGGAGACAAGCGTGTATATAAGACGCGTGGGAAGAAGAAGAGGAAGAAATACTGGGGAAAAAAAGAAAAAGAGACTTACCCTCAAAGTCGGACATGTAGGTAAAGACGTCCGAGTTGAGTGCGTTGACGACCATCTTGCGGTCGGGCGGGCCGGTAATCTCGACGCGGCGGTCGACCAGGCCGGGGGCGGGCGGCGCGCCCTTCCAGGCCTCATTGTCGCGAATGTGCTTGGTCTCGGGCAGGAAGTCGGGCAGGACGCCGCGGTCGAGCTCGGCCTGGCGCAGGACGCGGCGCTCCAGGAGGCTCTTGCGGGTGCCGTTGAAGGAGCGGTGCAGCAGGGCGAGGAAGGTGAGGGCCTGCGGCGTGAGGATCTTCTTGTGAGAGGCGTCGATCTTGCCGAGGACGTTGACGCCCTGGAGGATGGAGTCTTGCGTAGCCATGATTGGGGAGGGTTGTGTGTGAGGGTCTGTGAGGACGGCAGAAGGGAGGGGAAAAAAAAAGAGTCTCGCTGCTTTTTGTAGAGTGACTAGACAGGGAAGCAAGACTGGTAAGAAGCAAGGTTTCAAACTTCCCGGGAGGATGGGGAGGGAGGAGGGGGAGGGCACTAGATATATATAACAAGGTTCTCAAAAAAAGCTGGGCTGTCCGGAATCTTGTCGCCTCTGTGCGTGAGTGCCTTTGTGCAGTATGAATCGGGTTTCCCCGTTCACGTGTCAAGGCAGCCCGGGCGGCCGGTTTGGGGCCGGTTTGGGGACAAGCTCTTTGGAGACGGAAGAGTCGCTTCTCTTTGCAGAGTTGTGGTTCAAAAGCGGATAGCGCCAAAAACTACGGATAACTACACCCACGCAACTAGGTAGTTTACCCCAAAAAGCCAAAGCGACTCGACTCCGTTGCGTCACTCGGAGTGGAGATGGGGATCGGACACAGGACCGGAGAGAACAGGCTCCGACGTGCGTGTATGGTGCGATTTTACGTTGTTGAGGTTTCTGATAGCTGCTGTATGATGGAAGCTTTCTGGCATTCGAATCGTTGGTATCGAAATCGAAACCTGCTTCTTGTTATCAGTGACGAATCTCTTCTTCGCCGTCGTCTGGGCGCACGAGGGCCCAAATCTCCGTGCGGGCTTCTAGTGGGCCGGGGTAGTGGAGGGGGGGCAGCGAGACAAAGCTGCAAAAGCAACAGCGATCAGATTGAATACCTTGAGAGTTTTTGATAAGCTGTAACTAGATTTGTCGTCGTGTGGAGAGTAGTACGACGGCAAGACGGGAGAAGAATAGACAAAATCTTGCTTTCCAACTGTAGAGGACCGTTGTCATGCTCTTCACAAGCTGTGGCAAGCAGCTGTGGCAAGCTTGGATGCCAGGGTCTAACTATACCTTAGTAGGTACCTGGCATCGCGCAAACCGCTTCCGCTGCGCCCTCTCTCCGGAAAAGTAACAGAACAAGCCCCGAAAAGCCTCGATTCCGGGGAGGGGGGGGGGAGAGTGAACAAGAATGACACATAATGACTGCCCATTGCCACTCGATTTTTTTTTGGGACATGACTGCCAACTATCTCTCCCTCCTCTGTACATGCCCCCCTCCACCTTGTACATCGTACATCGGCATGCATCGGCACTTTGCTCGGGTCGAGGGAACGCTTTCTCGAGCGCCAAACCAAAATGTGGTAGCCACTTCCAATGCCCATTGAACCTCTATCTTTTTTCTCCGTTCCCTGCAGAGAAAGGATGGAGGAACCGTGGTAACATGGCAGACCTGATGCATGTGCTTCCTGCACGCTCGCCCAACATCTAAATACGTTTTGGCATGCAAAGGAAGGAGGAAGATGCTTCTAGCCAGTAGCATCGTCGACAAAGCAATTCCATGCTGTGGGGGAAGGGTGCAGCCTCATCGTACGGCAGAAAAGCAATAGTATATCAACTTGAGCTTGCTAACTATTAGCGGTTCTCTTATGCCTGTCCGGACCTACCCCGTACCAAACAGCCACCATTTTGGAGACTTGTTAGTGACGCCCTTGCACAAACTAGCCTCGGCAGATTCCAAACATCACCATGTTGCATCAACGTACCCGTTTTACCCGTTGGTACCGCGCGCGCGGCGCCCCCCGGCCGACACGCACCGACGGAACCTGCATCCCCGCCCGCAGTACAGGCAGGCTCCGATGACCCCGACACACTTGCAAGAGGGCGAAAGTATGTACATGCGCATCTCCGAGAGACCCAGGAGGGGACAAGACCCGGAGCTCCGAGCAGATCCTGTTCCCCCTCAACTTGCGGCTTTTGAGTAATTCCGACGTCTTCTTGGAGTCGTTGCAACCAGGAACAGGAATAGAATACAATATACCGTGGCCATTTTACATTCAAGTAGACCGCCCGCGTCTAAAAATCCCCTGCTTATCCCTCCCCAAGCGCAATCCGGGCTTGATTATTCGTTACCATCCCAGTGGGCGGTAACTATTACGCTTCCGCCATGCGCCTTTGTAGTAATATTCACCCAAAACGTCAAGCCCAGCTCGCCTCGGCGGCTTCGTCATCCAGTGCGGGCGCGCCAGCGTATAAAAACCAACACAGCGCATCCTCTCTTCTTCTACGAATTCTCGCCTTCTTCTTCGTCTTCTGTCCGTGCCGTCACCATTCAACCTCCAAGCTTCCTCCCAGGACGAGCCGGCGCCCACAACTCCAAGAGCCGAGGCACACTTTGGGCCGGCGTCTTCTCCACACAACCCAAGCATCAAGTGAATTTGTTGCTGCCTCCTCCCAGCGTCGCTTTCCCTCGTCCCCGATCCTTTCCGACACCCATAGTTATGAATTGTTAAAGCCCGGTCCAAGCGGCCTTTTCCCCAGCGCCAACGTGCAGTGCGTGCAGTAGCTCTGCATTGCAGGGCCCCGAATACATACATCCAATTACCTTGATGCATTCTCTTGACATTTGGTAATTACGTCGCTGTTTCTTCGGTTGCCTGTTTGCCACCAAATCAGCAAACACCCCTTTTATTTGCGACAATTCACAGGGTTGGCTGCAGACTCGTATGGATTTGTTGCATGCCAACGCGTGCTACCCACAATCAACATTCCACACCAACCACGCCTCCCTGTCTGTAACTTGTCGGCACGCGAACCATATAGACAGATTGAATTAATTCATACTACAGTTTCAAAGCCAAATTATGTATATCCGACAAGTAGACTCTATCCATCGTCTCACTCATCCGACGATGCCTGACAACAAGTGAAAGCCAAATAAGCAAGTCAAACACAATCATTTTTAGCCTCCTCGCCTTCCACAAATCCAAACACGCAAGGCAACACAAGGCAACACGTAAAATACTTGACTCTCAGCTTTCCAAAGCCACACCTTCAAAGCCACCGTCCCCTGCCCATTGATTACTAGCTTCAAGGACCGCGTCAGAGAAATATACACCAACTCCGTAGTGCAAAAATAAAATAGACCCCAGGCCGAAAGGAACGAGCAAGACAGAGGGAAAAGCAATGTTTGGCTCTCCTCTGTCGGCCACTATGCGCCGTACTCCATTCAAAAGAAAAACGACTTGTTCAAAACCAACCAAGCCTTCCTTTTCACTACCAAGAGCGTTTAGTTGCCAGAAGTCAGAGTCCTGATCATCATCTTCTGCTTGTTGCGATCCGTCACAACTAGATTTCGGTCGTCAAACACGATCCGGATCGTGTCCACAACCCGATGGAAACTGCTGGCCGCTCCACGCTCTTGTGTAAATCGGACAATGCTTAGTGGCTGGCGCTTCCCGTGCTCAATCACCGTCACCACCTCGGCAGCAATTGCAACTTCTTTGATGTTGAGATCTGCAATATAATTAGCAAAGCATTCGTCCCTGCAAACGGAGATCGGAACTTACAGTTCTTAGCTGCAACTCGTGCAAAGATAATGTTGCGCTGCTTGTCCACCTGCATGTCGCGGATACCATAGCGTCGCCACTCTCGCAAAAGAAGCGCCACTTCTTGTCGCGCTTTCCGGCGAGACAGGTTCATGCAAACATAGCTGGTAGCTGGCTTGACTCTGAAGAGCCGCGTCAACCAGTTTTGCTTTATCTCAATGCTGCGCTGCGTGCCTGATTCAGAGCTTTTCACCGTTGCAACCGCTGAGCTCTTTCTGCGTGCCTGGCTAGCCGTGGACAGCGGTCGATCATTCTCAACATGCTCGCCGTCCATGGCAGTGTCTTGTTCTTGTGTTCGACTATTCCTCCAGAAGGGAAAGCTGAATGCGCGCTTTTTCGACGACGTATCAGTCGTGGCAGACTGCGGTTCCTGCGAGCTGTTGGAAATGGCTGGTGACCTCTGGCTCTCCAGACTTGTCTCGTGCTCGGAATCCGTCCTCGAAACGCGTCTGAACCAGGATCGCATCTTGCGCACGCCACCACCGTTTTGAACTTCATCTCCTCCCGAGTGAGGCCCAGACTCAACGGCACGATCCGCATTGTATGCAATGTGCAGATGAAGTTTGCGCCCCAACTCCTCCTTTGTCAACTTTCTCTTGACAATAGGCACCTCAACCGCTCTGGAGCCAACCTGACCAACAGGAGAATCCACCACCATACGAATGGTATTCTCAGTATTGTTCAGGTACTGGAGGTCTCCAGTCGATCCATTCATTTGCTTCGAGGTCGCTTGAGGCGCTGAGACAATTCGCGACTTATCGTTGGCGATGTTGTTGGTACCAAAGTTCTCATTGATAGATGGAAGCACTGTTGTCTTTTTGCCATTGGGATTAGAGGCGGGTGCGGAGACACTCCGTCTGTCAACTTGACGAGGAATAGACACGGCAACAGCTCGTTGCGCAATACAATCAATAATATACTCACCGCCACTTCCATAACCCTCTCCAGAACCCGGTCGCGAGTCTGCCGCAGTAGTAGCGTCGCTCAACGCACCATCCTCAGCAGGAAGAGGAGGCAATGGCCGGTGCTGCCAGGACCTAGACGAGAATTCGGTGGCTTCTGTAGCCGCAGATGGGCTTTCCGCGTTGAAAGAAAATGGGGTCGAGTCGCGGTTCTTCTTGTCGCCCTCGCTCATCACGGATTCATCGTCAATCATAGAGCTTCTAAACGCCTCATCACAGTTGCGAGCAATATCGTTGCTAAAGTTGCGAAGCTCATCGCGGAATAGTGCCGACGCATTCTTTACTACCAGGGGAGTGTCGGACTGTGGACGCTTGTACACGGTAGGCACCTTGGGTACGGCAGGTATGACACTTCGCACCCGCTGAACAGGGGAAATTTCTTCTTGAATACTGGATCCCGCTGTTCCAGGACGACGACCAGAGCTCTGCACGTTTGAAGTCGAATTCGAGCGCTTTCGCATGTGGCTGAAGTCGACTGCACGCTTGTGTCGAAGGCTGGGGCCGGTGCGCGACGGTGTGCCCTGACGGCTATTGAGGGAGGTCATGGAGCCTTTCGCTGATCCGAGTTTGGCAGGTACGGCGCTTTTCGTGGAATTGGCTCTGATGCGGCGAGTATTGGCATTGGACGCACTTCGCGCGCGCGCCTGTGCGGCTGGGGAGGAAGCGCTGTCACGATGGACAATGACTTTTGCGTGGCCGACTTTGGAGTCGCTCTGTTGCAGTTTTCCACTTGCCCTGTAGGGATCATAGCTCACCACAGTGGCATTGTCTCCCTCGGCGGCATTTGAGATGACGGTAAAGCGAGAGATGGAGCGACCGTGTCCATTCGCACGAGGCTGAGAAAATTGGCATGTAGATACACGCTTCTTCCAGATTGACGGCTTCATGTGATGGTAGTCGCTCATAGAATGGGCCAGCTCGGGCTTAAAGTCTTCAAGTTGCTTGTCCCGATAGTCATGAAGCAGCCAGTAGAAGGCTTTTTGGTCGTTTGGCTGTTCGCAAGTCAACTTGTGTGCCAGGTCTTGCTCGTTGAACATATGCCACATAGACCGAAGCTGTCGCAGTAGCTGGGGGTCAATATCGGCGCGAGGTACGGGATCGTACTTGAACCCCTTGCCCAGCATTTGGCTTGTGAGGTCGCCAAAGTCGTCTTGGTAGCTGTACTTTTGAACGAGGGGATGATTCCAAATATCCTGCAAGTTGATACGACGCTCGGGGTTGACTTGCAGCATGCGGCGGATGAGATCTTCGGCTTCAGGGCTGATATGCTTCGGCATTTCGTACACACCCTTTTTTGTTTTTCCCATCATGACTCGCAGGTCAGGGTCATCGAAAGGAAGTGTAGCTGAAAGCATAGCATAGAGAATAACGCCCATGCTCCAGATATCGGCTTTGTCGCCGCGGTACTGCCTGTTCTTGAGAAGCTCTGGCGCAGCGTAGTGGGGGCTACCACAGGCGGTTGCAAGGTGATGGGTAGCCGTCTGGTGAAGTGCAGCCATTCCAAAGTCGGCAATCTTGATCTGTAGGTCGGCCGTGATGAGAATATTCTCTGGCTTTAGGTCACGATGACAGACGTTGAATGAGTGACAGTAAGAGATGGCGCTGATCATCTGTCGGAAAAAGAATATAGCCACTTGCTCCGAGAGACGGCCTTTGGTGTTGATGAATGTGAATAAGTCGCCTTGGTCAATGTATTCGAGGATGAGGTAACTGTGGCAGCATTAGTATTGAATTAGTATTACTCCAAGTTTGGACAACTTACATTTCGGAGCGATTTTCCCATATGTCATAAAGCTTCATAATGTTTGGGTGCTCAATAAGCTTGAGAATGGCGACTTCTCGCTCAATGGCCATGGGAACACGCGAGTGGCCGTCCGAAGGCTCCGGAAGATGGCTGTCCCATTTGCTCAAAGCAGCTAAACTGCTATCCTGAACTAGGTATGCCATGCGACGGTTGACGATCTTGACAGCAGCCAGCTGGTTCGTAAGATTGTGACGACATAGGCGCACACGAGCAGAGGAACCCTTGCCCAGAGTGCGCCCAAGTTGCCATGGGCCAATGTGAGTTTTATAGTTTCTCTTGCTTCGGCTACTCGAGGTAGATGCATACGAGGCCTGTGACATGCGTTTGTCCTCCTCGGTTGCCTGGTGCTCATTCATGAGGGCAGACACACGCGCATCCGGAGCAACAGAATGGGCAGTGGGAGACTGCACGTGGTGATGAGCCACGGCCTCGTTTGCGGTCTGATACTCATTTCTTTGATTTCGATGTTTGTTTGGTGGCAACTCTGTGGGAACAATGGGCGAATTTATGCGATAGGCAGCTTCGGCCAACGGAGAGCGGGCGGCGGAAACAACAGCCTCGGCCATTTCTTTTTCGTTTGGATGCGTGTAAGAGAAGCTAGAACATAATACTGGCGAGGAAGAAACGATTTGATCAGGAGGGCTCGAGTTCGGGGTCTATTCGTGTGTTGATTCGTTTCGGAAGGAATTTTCAGTGTCAAATATGTGCAAACGGTAGCTGTCGAGGTATGTTGTTGTGTTGTAAGAGGCGATTGGAGCAAGCGTTTGCTTCGAGGAGCATTGAGCGTGTAAGAGAGAGTCGGTGCAAAAACAGTTGCAAAGCCAAATCAAGAGGTGGAGAGGGAGAAAAAGAAATCAAAGCAAGTCCAATGACAAGGACTGGCGGAAGAAAAGAAATTCAGCGATGTACCGTTGCGGCGAGGTGGATGAAGATGGAAAAGGGAAGAAGGAGGAGAGGGACAAACGGAGGAGGACTAGGCCACCAGCTGGACAGCGACTGGAGAGACAGACGAAGTCGGCAGAGCGGACACAGCTGTGCTTGTGTTCTTAATCAAAGCGCACTATATTGGGCTTTCTCAGAGGCAGAACGTGCCACCCGTCCAAGAAAACGAGCGGCCTGGAAGCTCAGGAATGCAATGTTTACTTGGGAGTGGCGGCGATGGTCAACAGAGTGCGACATGGGGCTGTGGGTTGGTGGCAGCTGGGCAGGTCCTGCGCGTGCCAGACCTTCAAGGGAGGCTCATAGGGTCGCGCGCGTGGTGCAGCTCTGGAATGGAATTCTTGAGAGCCCATCGACTGACCGAGATATGGCGTAGTGGACGCCCGTATTATCATTTTCTTTTTTGGTCCGACATCCAAGAAAGCAGAAGCTAAACCATCTCGTCGCATTCCAACAGCCCGACCATCGTTGCCACTCCCTCGCCGCAGCATACCTCGCCTATGCTACCTACCTACCTGAATCCTGACCTAGGGTTGGGTGTAGAGTGGGTAATATTAATGCTTTAATTTTACTTCTTGGTTGATCATGGCACCACCGCCTGTCACTGTCGCCTTCACCGGCCAAAGCAATGATGCATGGAAATATTTGAACCGATTTCTAGCTCATCCCGACATCCCACATACTGGGATTGCTAGGCAACTCCACACCAGACACTATCCTTTCAAGTTCTTCCCGTACTTTTATTACCGAACTACCTAGTTACCAGTAGCTATGCTTTCTGCTTGTCAATATATATTTAAATTCTAGTTCATGTCACGCACGTGGAGCTATTGAAGAGTTACGGCTGTGGCACCCAAACTCTCGTCTCTGGATATAGCTCCGGCTCCGTCCATGTCGGCACCAAACTGAGACCTGCTAAATGCAATACATACTCTACCTGCAGAAACCTGGCAATCACAAGGCCCATGCTGCACGAACAGTTGGGATGGGGGAAGGCCCGGACAGCCATGTGAAAGGAGGCCACCGTGGAGACGTGAATCGGATGGCTGGGTCAACCTCGTTCTGCTGGAGAAAAGTTCTCCTTGGAACGCAGTTTTCACTTCGTAAGTATGACTCTATCTATGTCTGTCTTTCTCCGTTGTATTTAAGCGTAAGCTCATACGACAATCAAAGTTATAAGAAATGGACAATTCTATCCGTAAACCACCTATACTTAGATAGCAGTCCAAAGACCATAAGCTAAAATCGCGTTATTGGTTTAGTGGTAAAATTCTCCGTTGCCATCAGCAACGTCGGGGAGCCCTGGGTTCGATTCCCAGATAACGCATTTTTGAAGTCTTTCTTTTTTTTTTATATTATAAGCCGCAAATCTTGTTCCATGAAGTAACATAATTATAATTTTATGCAGTTGTTTTCGACGATCGCTCTTACCTATGTACCTACCTGTACCTAACTAGAATATGGAATTGCTGGCTGCTCAATCTTGTCTCATGCGTCCAAATCAATCGTAGACATAGAGCACAATTCTTTTAAACGCAAAATGAACAGCGATAATGCCTCATCCGTCAATTTAATTAATGTTCCAAAATCTTATTCTTTTATCTTGCGTAACTAAATACGTGCCCCAATCTTCCTCCACGGCACATTTTCGGTGGGGATCTCTTTAATACATGTGGCCTCCAAACGCCTGTGGCGCGTCTTCGCGCCCCCTCCTCATCCAACATTACCACATCCCAAGATTCCTCATTCCTTTGGGCCAGTGCATGAGGCGCCATTGAAAAATGTCGTCGCGCAGGAGGCGTCGCATGGCATCCGATGACGAAACGGACGAGGACAATATTCACACACCTGAACCCCCCAAGCGACCTCGACGATCGACGCTGTTGCCTCCATACGAAGTTAACGGTGGTCCAAGCTACACCAATGGCGCGTCGCCCTCTGATATTATGGATGAGTTCCAACCTGGTTCTATTGTGCGCGTCTTGGTCCAGAATTTTGTTACCTATGAAAAGGCGGAATTTTTTCCTGGCCCGTACTTGAACATGGTCATTGGCCCCAACGGTACTGGGAAGAGTTCGCTCGTATGCGCCATCTGCTTGGGATTGGGATACAGCCCCAAACATCTGGGACGTGCTGGCTCGATCAAAGAGTTTGTCAAGCACGGCAGAGAAAAGGCGACCGTTGAAATCGAGCTGCAAAGGAGGCCGAGCGATCGCTACAACCACACCGTGAAAGTCCAGATTCGCCGGGACCAGAATACTCAAAAATGGTGGCTAAATGGCAAAGAAACAACGCACAAGAATGTGCAAGATCTCGTGAGGTCACTCAAGATCCAAGTCGACAATCTCTGCCAGTTCTTACCCCAAGACCGAGTGGTCGAGTTCGCTGCTTCGACTCCTGTGCAGCTACTTCAGGAGACAATCCGCGCCGCGGCGCCGGAAGAGATGCTTCTCTGGCAGAGCAAGCTTCGCGAGTTATTTAAGGAAAAAAAGGAACTCACGGAGAACAGTCAAAACGACGCCGAGACCCTTGACAATCTCGAGGCTCGCCAGCAAGGATTGCAAGCCGATGTCGACCGACTACGAGAACGTGACGAAATCTCAAAACGACTCGACGACCTCAAGATAGTAAAAGTTTTGGCCAGATACCAAGAAGCGCGAAACAGATGGATGGAAGCCAAAGAGCAAAAGAAAAAGGCTCAGGATTCTTTGAAGCGACTTGAGACCGAAAGCGGACCGTCGCTGCAGGCTGTCAACAGGAAGGAGGCATATTTGGACAGGATCAAGTCCGCATTGAACGCCAAGGACAGAGCTCTCCAACAATGTCATGACATCTCAGATGCCCTAGACCAAAAAGTCAAAGATGGGCAGACCTCAATGGAGTCGTTCGATAACAAGATGGCCGCTGAGCGAGCAACGTTTGATGCCAGGAAAAAAGAGGTCGCTGCTGCGCGAGCTAAACTGACGTCGCTGCAAGCCGACCTGAAGAATCAGCCGGGCCAGTTCAACGCAGCCGACTGGAACCAGAAGATCCGTGCTGAGGAACACAACCTGCGCGAGCTAGAATCCATAGACCGAGAGCTTGGTTTGGAAATAAGGAAGCTGAAAGACCAGGGCCACCTTACACGGTCGCGGTTGAACACTTTGAAATCATCTTTAGAAGCCCTCGACACACAGCAAGGTCAACAGCTAAACCTGCTGAGAAAGGGGTCCCCCGAGGTTGCACAGGGGTGGGAATGGGTACAGGAACACATGGGCGAGTTTGAAAAGGAGGTCCTCGGCCCTCCTATGATAAGCTGCTCTATCAAGGATGAACGTTTTTCATCCCAGGTCCAGTCTCTGCTACAAATGGACGACTTTACATGCTTCACTGTCCAGACCCATAACGATTACAAAAAGTTGTCTCATCAGCTTTATGGCGTCATGAGTCTTTCAGTCGTCATCCGGTCTAGTATGCATTCTCTGGAAAAATTTCAGCCTCCAATGTCGCGGGAAGATGCCCGCAACCTTGGTCTCGACGGCTTCGCTCTTGACTATCTGGAAGGGCCCGCACCTGTGCTTGCAATGCTTTGTTCAGAGAAGAGGCTTCACCAGTCTGGTATAAGTCAAAATGACCACGATGATTCTCAATACAATAGGCTAGCAAACAGTGGCAGCGTTACTCAATGGGCTGCTGGGCAGCATCTGTTCACTCTGCGTCGACGGAAGGAGTACGGCGGCAACGCGATGACTGCGATTAGCAAGTTTATCAATCCTCCGCGATTCTGGACTTCGCAGGCTGTCGATGTGCAAGAAAAGGCGGAACTAACTCGTCAGCTTGCAGAGGCTGAGGAAGACCACCAAGCGATCAAGGAGAAACATGCTAAAACCTTCGAGAGACGGAAAGCCCTTGAGGGAAAGAAGGAGGCCATAAGCGCCAAGATTGTGCGTTGATTCGAGCCTTGCAATATTGTCCGTGACTAACAAATTAGCAGGACGATCTGAGAACAGAAAAAAGTGCTCTGCAAAAGGAGTATCAAAAATGGCAGTCTCTGCCGGAGAAGATTGGTAAGGCTTCTGGACACGTAGACTTGTGGTTCCTGCTAATTGTGTAACGGCAGAGGCTGAAGAGGCTCGAAGAGTTGTGAATGTTCAGACGATGGAGGCAATTCGAAACCGCATTTTTGCGGCTCAATACGACTTGGACAAGCTTGTCATGGTGAAATGCAACGCTGCGATGCGTCACGCTGCTTCCCTAGAAGAGATGAGGACGGCGCACCTTGAGTTCGTCGATGCCACAATCCGCTTTATCGAAGCCGCGTCAGATTTACGTGGTCTCAAGAAGCGGAATGCTACCATTGTGGAGCGACTTGAGAATGAAAGGAGAAAGATGGAAGAGGTTACCCAGATTGCCGCCCAAGCACGAGCCATAGGTAGGAAGATGTCGGACGAAGTCAAAGATTTGCTCATGGAGCACCAGGAGCGCTACGCGTATCTGCAGGGTCTGGCCGACGGCAAGACGGAGCACGACGTTGAGCTGGAAATTGACGCGGAAAAGGCGCAGCTCGAACTCATCCATACGTCCAACCCCAACATCCTACGCGAGTTTGAGAAGCGCGCCCAGGACATTGCACGACTCCGCAGTAAAATGGACGGTATCAACAGCAAGGCCGCGGAGCTGACAGCCGCCCAAAATTCACTGATGAACAAGTTTGAGCCCAAGCTCGACGAGCTGGTTGCGCAAATCAACAGTGCCTTTGCGTACAACTTTGAGCAAATCAGCTGCTCGGGCGAAGTGCGCATCCACAAGGATGAAGACTTTGAGCAGTGGGCTCTGAATATCATGGTTCGCTTCCGGTACGTGCCCTAATCCTCCTCCCGAGTATCATTCCTCCATTTCATATCTTTTTAAAGCAATGCTAACGCAGACACCTCTTCCAGCGAGACCGAAACTCTGCAACAGCTGACGGCGCACCGGCAGTCCGGCGGCGAGCGCGCCGTGTCGACGATTTTCTTCCTGATGGCGCTGCAGTCGCTCGCCCAGTCGCCGTTTCGCGTTATTGACGAGATCAACCAGGGCATGGATCCGCGCAACGAGCGCATGGTACACGAGCGCATGGTGGAGATTGCGTGCCGCGAGCACACGAGCCAGTACTTTCTCATCACGCCCAAGCTGCTCCCCGGCCTCCGCTACGACGCCAAGATGCGCATCCTCTGCATCGCCAGCGGCGAGTTTATGCCTCGTGACGGCGGCAAGCTCGACTTTCAACGCTGCCTGGCCGTGGTGCGCGGCATGAACATGGCGGTGTAAAGGGGCCTTTGTATTGTGTAGTTTGGGACGGGGAGGAGAGGGCTGAGAGGGATTTATTCTTGGCATGGTGTATTTTATGTACGGAAGAGGGCGTGCGATAAGCTGTACTTTTCGGAAATTCGCTGGCAACTGTACATCTTCCTTGTCTTAAACGGATGTGGGATCTCTCGGGTTTATCAGCACGTCGCCAAACACCTCCTCGTCATGATTCAAATTTGCTTCCACATGAACACCTTGAGTACTCACCATGCCAAGCTGATAACTTGCCATCGAATCGTCCGTCATGGCAGCCATCGGCTGGCACCGACACGCTTCTCCGCTCGCGTGGCGCATCGATCCGTGCCGGAAGCCCACCCAGTCAGAACAGCTCTCCCTTTCATAGATGGTACAGGTCGTGACAGTTGCTGCTTGTTTGTTCGGCAGGCCGCAGTAGGGGATGATCATGAGGAGAAGGTAGCCTGTTCATGACGGATGGACCCGGGCAATCATGTAGTCAGGCTTGTCCAGTTCAAGATATAATTAAGATAGATCCAAACGTTGGCTTTGCAGCTTTTTTTTGTCATTGTACAAAAATTAAACTTTAAGAAAACCGTGACATAGTAAAAAAGCATGCACATCGATACAAAAAAAAAAGACAACGCAATAAAAAATAGAAAGGAAAACCCACAGTCGCAACGAAATCATTCCTCAACTCTCAGTTCGCCCTCCAAGAGTAGGAACGAGCACGTACAACAACAGTACAAACGTCGATCCTTTCCATACCCCTTCTTTTTGTAAACTGCTTTCCAACTCAGGAACCTTTTGCCGTTCCACCACCCTCCCGTCCGTTTACCCGGCATTCAAAAAAAAGAAAACGAGAAAGAAACAAAAAGAGAATTGCAATACACTCAAAATGATCATCCCATAAAATGAGTCAAGAACAGAAAAGAAATGCCAAGAGAGAAGTACAGCCTGATCAGCAAGAAAAGAGAGAAAAAAAAGAAGAAACCAGTCCCAAAAGTGTTTCATCCAGCAAAGACCAGTAAATGAAAGCAGCGGGTATATGCGTTCATGAATACGTAGCACGTCTCCGAGTTCGGAAGACAGAAAAAAAACCTGAGAGCCTTTTACTCGTTAATGTCGAGGAAGGAAGCACTGGAGAGCCATCAAGCCCCGTGGCGTTTCCTTCGCCTTTTGTTATGTGTCATTACTTGGATTTGCGTCCGTCGCCGTGCTCTTCGGCGTCTAGCTTCTTGCGCCAGTCGGCCAGGCTCTCGCTGAGCCCCGCGCCGGCAATGCTGTCGTCGTCCTTCTTCAGCTCGGCCGGCGGGTCAAAGTCGAAGTTGTTACTCAGACGGTAGTTCTTGTTGGTGGCTTCCCAGTGGGTGCGAAGCGTCTCGAGCTCGCTGGCGAGATTGTCGAGGGCAGCGCTGTTGCGGCCGTCCGTGCTGCCGTGGCCGCCACCGCCGTACACGCTCTCCGCCTCGGAGCTTTCTTGGCGCGCGTGGCCCAAGCCCAGCCCGTTGGAGCCGCCGACGTCAACTGGTGTCATATTGGGCTGTCGGCTACGGCGACGATAACTGTCAACCGAGTGCTCTACCTGGTCGAGCAGAAGAGAGACCTTTTGCTCAGCGTCGGTGGCGCGTTGTTCAAGAAGGGCATTCTCAGAGCGCAGTTGATCTAGGTCCTTGACGTGCTTGGTTAGCTGCTTCGACATGTGCTCTTTATGCTGTTGCAGATCGGCAAGCTCCTTCTGCACGACAGCGTACTTCTTCTCCAGTTGAGAGCCAGAAGTGCGAAGCTCGTCTTGCAGAGCTGCAACCTTCTGCTCAAGGGTATGCTTCTCGGTCTCCCATCCACCGGGCGCTTCGGCAGATCGACCATTGTTCTCGCCATTCTGCGCTCGGTCTTCCATCGCTTCCACGTCTGTCTTGAGACGGGCATTCTCCGTCTTGTAACGCTGCAGCTGCTCCTTAAGCTGCTTCAACATCTTCTCCGTACCCTTGACGTAATGTACAGCAGATTGGTAGTCATTCTCAAGCTGAGTGAGCTTCTCGCGGTATGCAGATTCAGAGTCCTGAGCTTGTAAAGCGAAAGCTTGTTTTGTCTCTTCGTGAGAAGCATGAGAGCTTGATAATTGGGCCTCCAGCTCGCGTAAGCGGGTTTGCTCAGGCGAGTTGGTGCGAGGGCTCGCGAATCCCCGGCTGCGCACAGCAGCCGTGGGGCTTATGCCGCGCTCATTAAGGATTTCTTTGAGCGCAGTGTGCTGCACCGTCATGGCGTTCGTCTCCAATTGCTGGGCAGCCAGCTGATTCTTTACCTCGGAGTGAGCAGCTTGCAGACTCTGAGTTTCCCTGAGGGCGGCCTGAAGCTGACGTCTGATGGAAACACCCTCACGGCTCGACTGCTCCTGATACTGCTCCAGGCCAGCGATGCGCTCCTCAGCACTTCGAAGCTTGTCGGCAGCCGCGTCAAGCTCGGCTTGATATTTCTTGACCAAAGCGTTGGCGCCGGTAACTTGACTCTGAAGGGCAATGGATCGCTCAGTCTCTCCATGGTTCGACTTGGGCGAGTCACGGAGAGAAATCTTATCAAGTCCAGATAGGACCACCGCGCGATGTGTTCGAGCTTCGTTTGCGTTCTTTTCTGCTAGTTCCTCGGCGTCGCGTAACCTTTGGGTGGAGGCAACCAGCTCGGCTGTGCGGGCTTCGTGCTCAACTCTGAGTTTGTTGAACTTGACTTCAAGCTTCTCCCGAGCGTTGCGCTCTTCCGCTAGCTTCTTCTCTACATGTGACTTGCCATCCTCCGAAGCCTTCATCGCCGCTCGCAAGGATGTGAACGTCTCGTCGTGGTTCTTTGATGTCCCGATAGCGTCATTGTACTTGCTCGTGACCTCTTCCTTTTCAGCCTTGAGCAGGGCCAACGCCGCTACAGCATCGGAGTGGGAGACAGAATGGTCTCGGGCTTCCCGCTGCGACAAGTGCAATTCGGATTTGAGGCGCTCAACTTCGGCCGAGGTTTGCTGCTTGTAAGACTCGAGGTGGGCGAGGCGCTTCTCGGCAGCGTTGGAGGTCTCGTCGGCTAATTGGCGCGCGCGTCTCTCCGCTTCCAGTCCCGACCTCAAATTCTCTATATGCGTTTGCTGGTCCTTTTGCACGTGCAGCGCAGTCGCCAGCTTCTTGCTTATACCGTCGGCGCGGCCGACTTCATCACGCTCCCCATCAAGCTGCGGGGTGCTAGCGGCACTACCGCCTGCATATGCTGCCGCCTTCGCTTTTGCATAAACGGCTTCTTGGATGGCAGCATCTCGTTGTCTCTCCGCTTCAGCAATTTGCTTGGCTGCAAGAACGGCCTGCTTATCGACAGAACTTTGCACGTTGGCGAGTTCGGTTCGCATAGCCAGAAGAGCCTCGATGAGAGGCCGATCTTCATCGTCGAAGGTTTCGGAAGACTTATCCAGGGCTGGGCTGGAGGTATTCGGGACATAGCCGCCCTTTCGGGCCAGCTCAAGCTCAGAGGCATACCAGGCATTTTTGTTTCGAGCAGCATCGAGTTCCTTGAGTAGAGCAACAGTTTGTGAGTTACGTCCGGATGAGCGACGGGACACCAAGCTACCGCCCTGTCGAGTTGGGGGTGGTGGCGACGAGGGGCGATTGGCTCGTGATGACTCTAATGTACTGTCGATAGAGCCTTGAGACGGGCGAGGGGGGCGCATCTTTTCCGCGGCACTGGCTGCTCTCGGGCCTGGTGGAGGTGATCGTTGACCATTCACAAGAGCAGCAATGGGGCCTTCGGGGTCTGCTGCGAGTTGTCGTGAAGAGCTTTCGAGGGCGCCAGGCTTCGGCGAGCCCGCCCCAGGGCGGTCGACGGATGCGCCACGTACTCGCCCGACAGCAGAAGGCTCTAACGGTGATTTGGCGCCCAGGGGGGCTTGGGGTGGTGAGGCGGCAGGCGGCGGTGCCGGGCGTGGTAATTTAGATCCCGCGCCGGCAAGGCCTGGAGGCTCAGGGCTTGTCGGCTTGAGCGAGCGGCTTGAGTCCGGACTTGAGATGGGGCCTGACCCGTTGGTGAGGGCTGTCGTAGTACCGGCGGCGGCGGCAGCACCAGTCACTGTTCCTATAGCTGCACCTTGCGTGATCCGTTTGGGGTCTTGAGGCGCAGTAACGACACCTGGGGCTTGGCGATTCGCGGCCTCAAGACTAGGTCGGCCTGCCTGAGGAGCACGAATGGAGTTCTGCTGAGCGTCGGCGGGATAGCGAATCTTAGTCGTATCCAAAACATAGAGGATACCAAGATCATTGACGGTGGATGCAGCAGTGCTAGGCTCACCACCAAGTACAGCAATGGACTTGCCAACAGTGGTCATACTGTGGCCTGATCGTGGCGAGGGCGAAGGGCCCATGTTCTGGAAGGTGTACCAGCGTCGCAGGGAGATTCTAAAGGCAGCGAGGTCGCCCAGGTCAGTGCCCTCTTCGGTCCTGCCTCCGAAAATGTACATGACGTCGTCGACGAGAGCAGCAGCATGGCCTTCGCGGCGAGAGGGGATGTAGCCGATGCAGTCGAGCTGTGACCACTTGTTGACTTGGGGGTCGTAACACCAAACATCGTTGAACCATTCGAAGCCATTGGTACCACCGAAGAGGTACATCTTGTCGTTGTAGGTGATGACGGTATGGTTTGTTCGAGCAGCGGGGACGCTGGGGGAGGCGTCGGACTGGAGAAGAATTTCCCATCGGTTGTTGGCCATCTGAAGCTGGTTCAGGTCGAAGGCAGCCAGATCGTTCATGAAATAGCCTTCGACTTGACCACCGAAAATGTAGATTTTGGAGCCTAGGATGTTTAGCGAGTGGCCGTAGCGACCAGAGGGGCGGGGACCAGCAGGTAAAGCCCTCGACCAGTGTCGGGTGGATGTGTTGAGAAGATAGAGAGTCTCGTCGAGGACATCGGAGTCCTCAATCTTGGTATCACCGCCGTAGACGATGAAGGCATTACCGACTAGTAGGCTGGAATGGCCGACTCTTGGTCCTGGCCCCTCAGCAGTCGTGGGTAAAGGGTAACAGGACATGCTGCCTCCGGCTTCGATCATCCAGAGATCGCCTTTGACGGTGGAGCTATTAATTAGGCCGCCCATCATGTAGATGTCACCTTCTTTGGAGGAGGCGCTGTTGACGGCGGCGCCATATCGGGGAAACGGGCTGGGATTTTGTGAAGTGTAGGTAATTCGGCGCTGGGACCACGGGTATAGAGAGGCATTTGGGTTGGCGATCGGCGGGCCGTTGCGAGGCTAGAGGGGAAATGATGATAAGTATCGTCTGTCTGCTTGACAGCGAAGGGGCGATTGGACTTACCGCAACATCTGCGGGAGGATTTCCGACTGAAGCATTTCCGATGGGTGTATTGTTATCGACACTGCCGCCGCGACGGCTATGGGCAGAGGTAACGTGACGCTCCGGCGTGGTGACGGCATCATTTTCTATCGAATTCAAGCTGCCAGTTGGGGTGGCCCTGTGCTTCTCATTCTGGATGCGGGCATTGGCGCCAGCCATAGCGGTTGGAGGGGGAGCGTTGCCATCACGGCTGGACAGCGCGCGATCCTGGTTCTTCTTGGATTTGAAGAGAAAGGCCATGATCAATCAGGGGCCGCGCGCCGGCGGGCAACGAGTGAGGAGAGTCGTACAGGGATAGAAGACGATTCGATGATGGTTGAAAAGCGAGCGCAAACGACTATGTCTCCGGACAAAGGGACAGGAGCGATGGCGAGATGCGGTTGTGCGGTCGGCAGGGCGGCGTGTGTCTAACGGTTGGCGGTTGGATGGATGGATGGAGCGAGCCAGGGGAAGGTAGACGGACATGCGCGCGCGAGCGCAAAGAGTCTTGGTGGGAAGCTGTACGGAACTGTCCGGTGCCGACAAAGAGAAGAGGCGTATGGAACCCGAGTTTAGAGATGGCTGGAAATCCGCGAGGGCGTGCGTGAAGGGAGTGCAATTGGTCGTGGGCGGATGAAGAGGAGAATTGTCGTCGCCTCTCTCTTTTTTTTTTGGGGTTGGCCTGAGCCGACGGGCTGGGGGGTAAATTCCAGAGGGGTTGGTGTGTTGCGACTGGAGCCAGGGGGGACGAGGAGAGGAGTTGATGACTGGAGATGGATGTCAGTCGCCCCATTTAACTACCTAGAGATGGCGGTTTGCATCGAATGAATGAATGAGTTGCTGATGGAATGGAAATGTTATTAATAGAGTCGTCAGTAATTTTACGAATAGACTAACTATTGCAACAACGTCGAAACTGGGGGGCTACATAATAACGGCCAACGGTGCAAAAAAAGGAGATTTTCAACCAGTGACAATGGCTTGTATAGGCTGGGGAAGCGCGGCACAGGTACCTCCTACTAACCTCCTAAGGTACCTTAGTACATCTGTACTAGGTACTTTTAGTCAGGTAGTTAGTGCCCCTGTTCACGTTTCGGGGGTGGCTCGAGCCGCGACCGGCTTGGCCGAGCTGCTGCTGGTAACCTGAGCGCAACAAACATATTTTACCGATCGACGAATTGTCCTCAAAGCACGCGGCAAAAGTCCCAATTGCCCCTATCATGTTCATCAGTTGTGCGGCCCAGTCCAGTGTTGAGCGTGTTGAGCTGGATGCGACACAGTACCTACTTACCGATGTACCTAACAGTCCAATCATAACTCGTTGCCAACTTGTTAGCGGTGATTGTCAGGGGCATTGATTAGGGGATGCACTCAATCTACCGAGTCAAATGTACATGCACTCTTGTTAATAGTCGGCCTTTTGATTGATTTTTCGAACCTTCCGCTACCCTCGAGATCCTTGCGCCTTGTTTTTCCTGTCGTAACCACGCATTATCAGCTCTCCGAGTGGCTGGGTCTAAGTGCCAGTCGGCGCACTGTGGGGGAATCACTGGGAACCCCAGTGCACGCACTAAACTGCACTTAGCCACCTGCCATGCCATGTACACCAGCTGTACCTTTGTATTCCAAGTCGTACGGTGCTGGAGAGGCGAGCTGGTAAAGGCTCGTATTTTCTGGGTCAACTAAAGCTGATAATAACACAGTTGCAGAGCATCCGTAATCCGTGAGAAGAACCGAGCAAGATTGGCAGCACAAAGGCTCCCGCCTTCCGACCTGCAGGTCCTTGCATTAAGGAACCAGGGACCAGCCTCAGGTGCAGCCCGCCATCGGTGGCTGCAGCTACAGTGGGTGGGTGTACTTATCACCTCCAGGTACAGGTACTGAGGTACTAGTGGGAGTGCGCCGCCCAGCGAAATCAAAGGGGCTGGAGGGGCGCAGATCCACACCTTTTTTTCCCCTTGATCCTCGCCGCAAACCTCGTCATCAGATTCCCTTTTTCTTCACCTGCCTGTCGCCTGTTGCCTGTCATCAGACGACATGTATCCGTCTCGCCGCACCGCACCGGCCTTCAATGCTGCTCTTGGTATCCGTTCATGTCAACTACTGAGTAGTATCGCGCACCGAACTACCTATTGCTGGACCAATCAGCAAGCGCCGTGTCCTACACCAAATCGCTGGGATTCTGTATCACACTGGGCTGTTGAGCAACCTCACCAGCCGTAGCGCCTCACAGACCTGATACATTGAATGCAGCAATACATAAAAGTCCCGATTTAAATAATCAGTGGCCTTTGCTTCGGCCGACGAAATTCCTGTTTGCTTGGTCACGGCACTCATAGACCAACCCCTGACCCCGCGACTAGTTACCCTGAACCAACAAACAACTTTCAAACATGATTTGACTCGCTAAATTATAGACAACCACGCATTATTGATACATCGGACATTAGCATTCAATGCTATTTTCGGACGACAGGCAATCTAGCCGCCAGCCAAGACCCCACTGTCGGAGATCAAGTAGTTATGCCGTGGTAGCATGATGCTACTCTGCATAGCTAATAGATTGGCGTGGCTGCGCTGAACGAATGATATTACATACCTACTATTAGTCCATGTCTTCATTTAGTGACTGGCTATCACCTGTGCGGTCGACTCTGCGCCAGAGTCTGGAACTTAGAGCTAGCTCCTTTTTTCTACCCAAGCTGTACGCAGCCTCCCGACGACACGCGTTAGACGCGAGCACCTTACATTCCTAGCTTCATTCATATTTTTCCTCCCCGCATCAACTTGCAAAGCACTTATATTGTGCGCGCATCTCTCATAGCAGCTCCTGTTGGCATCAAAAACAGCGACAACGATCTCTCTGCATGCGCCGACTGTATTCCCGGAGCGAGAACTCGCCCACTACGCATGATGCATTATCTCGTTTCTGACCATTATGATGAAGACAAGCAAACAGACCGCAGCTACATCAAAATCAACTTGCCTCTAGAAAGTCGGCGATGCGCACTTCACCTCGCACTTCACCTCATACCCCATGCCTCATCCATTCGATTATCAGCACTTCTTCGTTCTTTGTTCATGTAAATACCAACAACCCCACGCGTGATCCGAATAAGCGTCGCAGAAAACCTCTGCAGTCGCACGAAGAGGCAAACTTGCTAGAGTGACCAACTCTCTTTGTTGCAATCTTCCCCAATTCCTCACAAACATACAACCCGACTTGCGGCGTCGCTACGGGATGACTTAACCTGCAGAACCCAAACCAGGTCGGTGGTAAGACAATCCGAGCCCTAGGTTGAATTACGGACGCAGGTATCGAAAGCGATTGGATGCTGACAAATTTGAGAGCGGTCCTGCGTCGTCATGTTGATGTTCCTGATAGACGTAAGTGAGACCTGAGCCCTCCAAACCAGCGACGGCCTCATCGCTGTCGCCAACCTGAAGTAGACTGTCGAATATGGCGTCCCAGTGCTGCTACTCACTGACTGATTGCCAGTCAGCCGTGACAAGCCAAAGAAACAGCGGCGTTACCTTACACAAGTATTGTCGCAGAGCGATAGCTTCTCTACTGCAACCACGGCTTCTTCAACTGCAGCCTTGAGGGTCGTTATTTCGTGTGGCTGGGGGAAATTGCATCAGTTGTCCAGATGTGGCAGCAAGGTGATCAGCTGTTTGTCACATAAAATAGCGACGCAATTGACTATATCACCGTGCCATACTATAATAGCCTTATTGTCGCTGACTTTGACCTTGCCTCGGTCACCCTCGTCCCCAGAACCTGGCACGCGGATTTTAGCTAGTGAATCTGCGCGACAAAGCACCCTCAGCAATTCATCGGTACAGTACATGTTCCCGCCCAAACGAGAGGTATCTCGAATAAAATGTGGCTATTATACACGATAAGCATCAACCGAAATCCTCGCAGTACCGCGTTCTGCTCTGAACAGATGGATGGCGTGACGAGGATAGGTAAAGCGCGACATTGATGTACGACGTCGACACCAGCGTCCTTAATATCGTTTAGAGGTCAAATGAAAGCAACTGGAGTATTAAGTGAAGATCCAATTGAAATTGTAACTATTGGAAGAGATAACAGTAAATTCTCTTAACAAAATATGAAACGGCCGAATAAACTTGCGCACTGAATTTCTTTAGTGATTACATAGGAGGCGCGTAATCTTATCGATAAACGGGTCACTATCTTATCATATCCCTGGCCTGGTTACTAGATCAACACCACCCTATGCGGGTGTGTCCGATTTTAGCGCCGGATTATTATTCCTACAGCCCCTAGCGTAGTTGGTTTTGGCGGCGGCAGGCCCCGGCACCTGCAGTCTCTCACTAATTTTCTACTACACGAGCAGAGCTTCCCGACCCTTTCAATACATCAGTCCCATCTTGCTGTTAAAAAGCCTTCTTTCCGCGCAAACGCCACCTCTAAACCTAAGAACAATTTTTGGATCTTACAAAGAGGGGCGAAATCTTCTTCTCTTACGATCGAAATCGATCGAATAATTTCGAAGCGCATCAAACGACATTAGGCCCGGAAACGCTCATTCCCCCCCACACGAACATTTACACCAAGTCACCGTCAACTTCTCTCCCGCGGCATTGCCTCGTTGAATGGCAATTTTTTTCGCGTCTTAAGGACGCTTATGATGCAGCCATGTCGGGAACTACGATTGATGACGTCGTAAAGCGACTTAGCAGCGCGGATATTGGTATGCCGGATTTGGTCGTCACCCGTTGGCATCTGCCCGCAGATGACGATGCATATGTAACTTGATGAACCAAGACTCACACGTTACTCCCACAGATACCAAGTCTAAGGTAGAAGCTGCCACTACGCTACGCGACTCCCTAGATCACTACACAAATGGTCCCATTTACCCGCCTTTCCTCAAGAGGTTGATGCCTATCTTTGTCAACATCTTGCGCGGACCCTGCATCTTCCAGAGCAACTCGCCAGAGCAGGTTTGTCGCAACGTGCCATCACCGCGACAACAAGCTAACATCCGATGAGAAACTGCGAAACTGCATTCTTGAAGTCCTTCACAGATTACCTAGTGCGCCGTCACCTGCCGAACCCCTCGAGCCATACGCCGTTGAAGTCGTCGACCTGTTGATACAGCTGGTACGAACCGATAATGAAGACAATGCGACTCTATGTGTCAAAATCACGTCCGATATTATGCGACACCAGCACAAGGCGCTCCAGGGCAAAGTTCAAGAGTTCCTGACGTTGATTCAGGAGCTATTTGAGCAAATGGACAAGGTTGTGCGCGAACAGCTGGACAATGGTACTGCTCCTCCTTTGGCGGCTGGAGGTGCGCCATCTACACCCGGTGGCTCACAAAACTTCCAATCTCCTCGGCCGGCATCGCCCGTTGCATCTGTAACTGAACTCGGCGCCGATCCCCAACTACAGAATCGCCCTCTTCTGAAGGGAATGCAGTCTTTCAAGGTTCTGTCAGAGTGTCCGATAATAGTGGTGTCGATATTTCAGGTGTACCGCGGTACTGTACCGCAGAACGTAAGGGCTTTTGTACCCCTCATCAAGTCAGCACTGCAGCTTCAAGCCAGCGCGCAGAAGCAGGCACATGCGGATGCCGCTGCCAAGGGCAAAATCCATACTGGTGTCAGTCCTGCCATCAAGAACCGCGCGGCATTCGGTGAATTCATCACTGCACAGGTTAAAACCATGAGTTTCTTGGCATATTTGCTCAGGGCGCACTCTCAACAACTCACAGATTTCCTGCAGAACTTGCCTGACGTCGTCGTGCGACTGCTAAAAGACTGCCCGAAGGAGAAGTCCGCTACACGAAAGGAGCTTTTGATTGCTATCCGACACATCATCAACTACAACTGCCGCAGAATCTTCCTACCCAAAATTGACGAGCTTCTTGACGAGCGCACGTTGACTGGCGATGGGCTAACAGTGTACGAGACAATGCGGCCTCTAGCATATAGCATGCTCGCGGATCTCATACACCACGTGCGAGATTCTCTGAGCCCGGAGCAGATTCGCAAGACAGTGGAAGTTTATACAAGGAACCTGCAGGACCCGTTCCCCGGAACCAGTTTCCAGACGATGAGCGCTAAGCTTCTACTAAACATGGCTGAGTGCATCGCGAAGCTGCCTAACAAAGTTGATGCCCGACACTATCTCATGATGATCCTCAACGCCATTGGGGATAAGTTTGCTGCTATGAACCGACAGTACCCGAATGCTGTTAAACTGTCAAAGCTCTATCACCAGCAGCAGGAGAGTAGCGCTCCGGAGACATATCTCGCAGATAAGGAGAACCCCCCTGACTGGGATGAAATCGACATCTTTTCCGCTATGCCGATCAAGACCTCGCACCCACGTGATAGAGGTTCTGACCCCGTTGTCGATAATAAGTTTCTTTTTAAAAATCTTATGAATGGTCTGAAAAACACATTTTATCAGCTGCGAACATGCAACGTGGGCACCACGATTGACCCAGCGAATGCCCCCTCGCACTGGCAGGAGGTAGCATATGGGTTCACTGCGGAAGAGGTCAATGTCATAGTGAAACTCTTCCGCGAGGGAGCCTACGTGTTCCGATACTATGAGATTGAGAAGCCGACGATTGAATCCCAGTACTCTTCGCCCGTCGAGCAAATGGCAAATTTCTACATGATATCGAGCTCGAAAGAAGAGAAAGATCTGCTCGAAACATTTGCCACCGTCTTTCACTGCATCGACCCTGCCACTTTCCACGAAGTTTTCCAGCAAGAGATCCCACATCTGTACGACATGATCTTTGAGCATACAGCGCTGTTGCATATACCCCAGTTTTTCTTAGCCAGCGAAGCGACATCGCCCAGCTTCTGCGGCATGTTACTGCAGTTTCTCATGGACCGAATCGATGAAGTCGGCTCAGCCGACGTCAAGAAGGCCTCCATCTTGATTCGTCTCTTCAAGCTGGCGTTTATGGCTGTGACTCTATTTGCCAGTCAAAACGAACAGGTTCTCCTCCCTCACGTGGTCAACATTGTTACCAAGTCGATTGAGCTCTCGACCAAGGCCGAGGAGCCCATCAACTATTTCCTTCTACTGCGTGCCCTCTTCCGTAGTATAGGAGGCGGAAAATTCGAACAGCTCTACAAGCAAATATTGCCGCTGCTCGAAATGCTGCTCGATGTTCTCAACAACCTCCTTATGGCCGCGCGTAAACCTTCAGAGAGGGATCTCTATGTCGAACTGTGCCTTACTGTTCCGGCACGACTCAGCCATTTGCTGCCGCATTTGAGCTTTCTTATGCGGCCTCTCGTGGTTGCTCTGCGCGCTGGCACCGATTTGGTTGGGCAGGGTCTCCGAACGCTGGAGCTTTGTGTTGACAACTTGACAACTGATTATCTGGATCCAATTATGGCTCCAGTGATCGACGAGCTCATGACTGCGCTTTTTGACCATTTGCGACCGCATCCGTATAACCACTTCCACGCGCACACTACCATGCGCATTCTTGGGAAACTCGGAGGTCGAAACCGCAAATTCATGACCGCGGCGGTTCCACTCTCCTATAAGACATATGCAGACGATTCGTCAAGTTTCGATGTCCGCCTTCTTGGCTCCAAGCACGACAGAGCTTTCCCTGCCGACCTGGGTATCGATTTTGCCATCCAAAAGCTCATGGAGGTTGTTAAGAATGGGAAAGGCACTCAAAACAAACATCATGAGGACTACTATAAGGGGCAAGCGTTACACTTCATCAAGACACAGTTGAAGCTTCGTATCGGTTACGATCAATTACCGGAAGACCTGCCGCGTGTTGTTCGACTACAGGCCCAGGACTTACTTGCCCGCAAACTCGACATCAACTTTGCCCCCTTCGAGATCTCGAGTCGTGACAAGTCGATCCCCAAAAAAGATGAGCAAGACCAAATCACAAAGCGTCTTCTCAAGGCAGTCATGTTTGCTTACTCGATCCCTGACTTCAAAGAGAGTGCCTCCGCTTTCATGCAGGACATCTGCAGACACTTCGCCTTGATCGAGATTGGAAGGTCACTCGTCGACTTCAAGCGCAACACGAGTCCGTTTGATCCAAAGGCTGGCGAGGGCCCGCTCTCCATCGATACGCGTGTGCTCTCTGATGCTATTGTTGAGTCATTGGCCTCTGACCACCCTGACGTTCGTGAGGCAGCGCAAAATGCCATTCGCGATCTTTTCCAGTGCGCTACTATTGTGCTGGGGTCCCCCGACAATGTCGGCCGACTGCCTCTGTTCAGCCATCTAAGCAGCACCTTCTGTCACAGCTGCTACGAGGAGGAGTGGTTTACGAAGGCTGGTGGCAGTCTTGGCATCAACTTCCTTCTAACTGAGCTTGATTTCGGCGACCAATGGGTTGCCACCAAGCAGATGGAGTTCATTCGGTCGCTCATGTACGTCATTAAGGACATGCCCTCGGATCTGCCGGACAAGACCAGATGCCTCGCCCAAGCCAGCTTGGAAGTGCTTCTCACCCGCATCACGAAGAACATCACGAAAGAAGATGCGTTGCCTCTTCCGCAACAACAAGGGCAACCCCTGGTCAAGCAGCCCCGTCTGGCTCAAATTTGCATGCAGTTCAATAATGAGTTGTTCCACATGAACAAATTTGTGCGTGAGACTGCGAAGGAGTCTCTTGAGCTCATTGCCAAGGCTGCCGGCTGCGAAGTTTGGCTTTTAGTTGAACCTTATCGGGATCGATTTTTGCAACCAATCTACGCCAAGCCTCTCCGTGCCTTGCCCTTCGCTATTCAGATCGGATATATCAATGCTATGACTTACCATATGAGTCTCAAGAGCGACTGGGTCAAGTTTGACGAGAATCTTAACCGACTACTTATGGAGTCTCTCGCCCTTGCGGACGCCACTGATGAGTCCCTGGCCAATAAGCCAGCCGAGTTTCGCACCCATGAGCACATCGTCAACTTGCGCATCTCCTGCATCAAGCTGCTCAGCACAGCCATGTCTTTTGAAGATTTCGCAAACGGACCTACCAAAGGAAGGATACTATCCGTCTTCTTCAAGTGCCTGTACTCGGACTCGAAGCCCACGATAGCTGCGGCTAACGACGCCCTGAAATCTATCCTTCTCGTCGATAGGAGACTCCCGAAGGATTTGCTCCAAGGCGGTCTGCGTCCCGTGCTGCAAAGCCTGTCCGACCCCAAACGCCTCAATGTCAACGGACTCGAGAACCTGTCTCGCCTGCTGAAGTTACTTACGAGCTATTTCAAGGTGGAGATTGGAGTGCGCTTGCTGGACCAGGTAGACTCTATTGTTGACCCCAATGCCTGGCAGCAGATTTCCTTCACGTTTTTTGAGCAAAACCCTCAGATGAAGGTCATCGCAGCAATTTTACATATTTTCCATCTGCTACCTATGCAGGCCGAGGCCTTCAAGGATCGACTCATTGATTGCCTACTAACACTTGAGGATCGCCTGAGAAGAACACACCAAAGCCCATTCAGGGCGCCTATGTACTTGTACATGAACAGATATGCCAAGGAGGTTTGGAGCTATTTAGTCAGCAAGATCGACGAACTCAAGTATGGCAGGCTTCTTGCTCAGGTGCTCTTACATCCTGACAGCGGTCCTATGCGCGAGGTTGCCGCCGCGGAGTTCGAGACCCTTCAAAAAAGGTGCATTGAGGTTGTTGCCCAAAACAACGAGAAGAAGTTCACCGCCATGATCAACACTATCCACGTGCTGGACTCGCTTTCCCAGTACCCAGATGCATGCAAATGGATGGACAAGAAGGAACACATTGTTTGGCTGAAGAAGATGGGCAAGGATTTGGAGAGCCACCTGCGCAGCTACACATGCCCCGCTGCCATGCGCTTACCCGCCCACCAGGCAGCTGAACAACTGATGGATGTTCTGGTCAAGACTTTGGAACGATCTCCGAAGGACCTGGACGCGCTCTTCAGCCTCATCGAACCTGTCACGGCTGAGGAGCTCCGTTCCACTCAGTCGCTCTTCTCCTTCATTTACAAGGATATTATCTCCAGCGATTCAATCGATTTCTGGAGGACGACGGTTCTGCGATGCTTGGACGCGTACTCAGCCAGAAATGGCTCCAACAAGACAAAGTACTTTTTGCTGCATAACATTGTTAACCCGATTGTTGCAATGGATGTCATGAGACGCTGGAATCAGCCAGAGCAAGACAAATCACAACGTTTCATGGACAAGTCTGTCATCGATGCAGTAAGCTCCAAGATCTGGAAGGTCCATCCAGATATGGCCTCGGACGATGCAGCCGGTATCGACCACACAAGATTCGAGGTCCTCCAGCTCTCAGCAATGCTTGTCAAGTATTATTTCACTACCTTGCAGGAAGCTCGCAAGGATATCATCAAGTTCGGCTGGACATTTATCCGCCTCGAAGATATTATCAACAAGCATGCTGCTTATGTCGTCATCGGTTATTTCATAGCGCACTACGAAACACCGACAAAGATTGTGAATCAAGTGTACCTGTCTCTGTTGAAGACGAATCAGAACGAGGGGCGTGCACTGGTGACGCAAGCCCTCGAACTGATTGCACCTGTTTTGCCGAAGCGCTGCGCCACGCTACCGACCGAGAAGTTCCCTGCTTGGCAGGTTGCACCTCGCCGCATACTAGCCGACGAAGGACATAATGGTCAGCAAATGATGAGCATCTTCCAGTTTCTTGTCAAACACCCAGAGTTATTCTACGAAGCGCGTGACAAGTACACCGTGCTTATCATCACTTCTTTGCGCAAGGTCGCCGCGCCACCAAATCCCTCCCATGAACATAAGAAGCTGGCTCTTAATATGATGTGGCTGATTTGGACCTGGGAGCAGTGGCGCGTTGAAGGAAGAACCGGCATAATTGCGGGATCCGTTTCGCCCGTTTCTAAGAAGCGTAAACTCGACAGCATTGACCAGCCCATTGCTTCACCCGCGGCTGCCAAGACCACCCCCGAGTATCTCATTCCTCCAGGCTTCCGACAAAAGATGCTCAAGTTCCTGGTTGAATTCATTGCGCAGCTCAATGAGCGTTACGTGCTTCCTTCCGCCAAGCCGCGCGAGCCAACACCCACGACGATGCCTGTGCCACAGACATCTACAGAGCTTTGCAAAAAGGCCATGTCACTGCTTCACAATTTGGTTCAACATCGGTACTGGGGCGACCTGGAGCTTGATTTGTTCCCCAATGTCACGGACGTCATGCTCGCCAGTGAGAAGACGCAGGTTATTCTTAATGCCGACCCATCCGACAAGGAGAAGTACGACGACAAGTTCCTCACGAGCATCATCAATACCCTCCAAGTTGTCCGTATTCTTCTGAATGCGAAGCCGGACGACTGGATCCAGAAGAACATCCCTGCTGTGCAGAAGGTTCTAGAGAAATGTCTCAAATCCGAAAACCCCGAAATCCAAGACTGCCTGCATCTCGAAAACAAGAAATACGACGACGGCCGCGAATTGAAGTCTACTATCAAGCGTATTTTAGATGCTGTCCCCGAAGACACTCCGATGGAGGACGCTGATGCCGATGGCGAGCCTGAAGTACCTACTTCTGAGATCATCGCCTACCTCTCTCAGATCGCGACGGAACAAATGAACAGTGCTTCCTACTTTTCTGGCGTCAATATCCTGTGGTCCCTCGAGGATCGTAAACCTGCAGTTATCGATCAGCACATTCCTTCTCTCATGAAGGCCCTCCAGAGCAAACATGCCCGAGAACATGTCCAACACTACAATGCCCTGTCAAATGCCGCTAACGGAGCTCAGCGTGCCGCCGATGCTCCTGCAACCACTGGCGAGCTTCCGGCATACGAGCTAGAGTTGCAAACGCGATTGATGATCAAGGAAATACAAGTGGTTGCGCTGAGAATGGAGACTCTGGGCGATAATCGACGGCCTTTTCTGAGTGTATTGGCTACTTTGGTGGAAAAGTCACTACACATTGATCTCTGCACAGAGATTCTGAACATGGTTGAGAGCTGGGTGTTTCGAGTTGAAGGTACGTGGCCAACACTTAAGGAGAAGACGGCCGTTCTTCATAAGATGCTCTGCTTTGAGCACAGACAAGACCCCACCTTGCTTTCAAAGTTTCTGGAGCTGGTGATCAAGATCTACGAAGATCCCAGGATTACGAGAACTGAGCTCACCGTGCGTATGGAGCATGCTTTCTTGATCGGAACCAGAGCTACGGATGTTGAGATGCGCAACCGTTTCATGGCCATATTCGACAGGAGCCTTTCCAAGACTGCTAGCGTACGCCTATCGTACATTCTGACCGCACAGAACTGGGATACCCTTGCCGATTCCTACTGGCTTGCGCAAGCTTCGCATCTGCTGTTTGGAGCTGTCGAGATGAACACGGCTATTCAGCTACACTCAGAAGACTACCGGGTATTATCGGCATCCCAACTCGCGGCTGTCTACGCAAAGGACAACACTCGTGAGCCTACTTCCATGTCGGATGACAAGTTTGAGGAATTGATGTCAAAGCACCGTCGTTTCGTCCATGAGCTGGGCGAGGTCAAGGTCCGAGATGTTATCGAACCACTAGCGCAGCTGCAGCACGCCGACAACCAACTTGCCCACCAGCTTTGGCTGGCCTTGTTCCCTATGTTCTGGTCAGCGACGGCTCGTGATGATCGCCCTGACCTGGAGAGAGGTATTGTCGCTCTCTTAACAAAGGACTACCACAGCCGCCAGATTGACAAGCGACCAAATGTTGTTCAATCTCTTGTTGAAGGAGCCGGTAAGACTTGGCCAGAATGCCGATTGCCGCCCCACGTACTCAAATTTGAGGCGAAGACGTATGACGCTTGGTATGCTGCTCTTGTGCAGCTAGAAAATTCCGCTATTAAACCCATGGGTGACTCGGCTACGGTCAGGGAAAGCAATCTTGACGCCTTGGTCGACCTGTATGGGTCGTTGCAAGAAGACGACTTGTTTTACGGAACTTGGCGTCGCCGTTGCCAGTTCGTGGAAACCAACGCCGGCCTATCCTACGAACAGAATGGCATGTGGGACAAGGCGCAGAAACTATACGAAAATGCGCAGATCAAGGCTCGAACTGGCGTCATTCCCTTTTCGCAAGCAGAGTACATGCTTTGGGAGGATCATTGGGTTCTCTGTGCCCAAAAGTTACAGCAATGGGAGATTCTGCAAGATTTTGCGAAGCACGAAAACTTTCAAGACTTGCTGCTGGAATGCGCGTGGCGTAGTACGGAAATGTGGCAGGACGAACAGAGTCGCGAAGCTCTGGACAATATCATCAAAGGTGTCATGGATGCGCCCACTCCTCGCCGGGCCTTCTTCCAGGCGTTCATGTCCTTGCTCAAGTACCACAACCAGCAGGAGTCTATCACCGATTTTAGTCGTGTCTGCGACGAGGCGATTCAACTTTCCATCCGCAAATGGCATCAGCTGCCTGGCCGGTTGACCAATGCCCATATCCCACTTCTGCAGAATTTTCAGGAGCTTGTTGAGATGCATGATGCCAGTGTCATCTGCCAAAGCTTGGCGAGTACGACTGCTTCCAACCTCGATGTCAAGTCGGGGGAGCTTAAGCTGCTGTTGGGTGCTTGGCGTGACCGCCTCCCGAACGTTTGGGACGATATTACTGCCTGGCAAGATCTTGTGACGTGGCGACAGCACATCTTTGGTCTTATCAATCACACCTACCTGCAACTGCTGCCTCCGCAGGGAGCTCAAAACGGCGGAGGCGCATCTTCGTTTGCCTACCGCGGTTACCACGAGACTGCCTGGATCATCAACAGATTTGCCCACGTCGCGCGCAAGCATAACCTGCCCGATGTCTGCATTAGCCAACTGAGTCGCATCTACACGCTGCCGAACATCGAGATCCAGGAGGCTTTCCTCAAGCTTCGCGAGCAAGCCAAGTGCCACTATGAAAACCCCGAGGAACTCAACAGTGGACTGGACGTCATCAACAACACCAATCTCAACTACTTTAATCCCCAGCAAAAGGCCGAATTCTACACGCTCAAGGGCATGTTCCAGGAGAGGTTGAAGCACAAGGACGAAGCCGATGCCGCCTACGGTACCGCGTTATACTTTGATATCGGCGCGGCGAAGGCATGGGCCGAATGGGGCCACTTCAATGATCGCAAGTTCAAAGAAACCCCATCCGATCTCAATGCCGCTCGACAAGCCCTCACCTCGTACTTGCAAGCTGCGGGTAGTTACAAGAATGCCAAATCACGCAAGCTTCTTGCTCGCATCTTGTGGCTGCTCAGCCTCGACGATGCCAGGGGCACCATTGCCATGGGTTTTGACGACTTCAAGGGCGAAACTCCCGTTTGGTATTGGATCACGTATATCCCGCAGCTCCTCACTGGCCTGGGTCACAAGGAGGCACCCCGCGTCTACCAGATCCTCCTCAGCATTGCCAAGTCTTACCCTCAGGCGCTGTACTTCCAGCTTCGCACCAACCGAGAAGACATGCTGGTCATTAAGAAGAGCCAGGAAGCCAAGGAGAAGGCGCGCCAGCGTCAGCAGTCCATGGCCAGCAACAAGGCGAGCGCTTCGCCGTCTGTATCCAAGTCTGACACGCCCAAGCCCGAGAGCGCATCTAGGCCTGGTACTGCCAACAATGCCGACACCGCTGTCAAGACCGAGGGCGATGCCGCTACGCCGGCAACCCCTGCTACTCTAGCCGCAGCCTCAACTCCTGCTACTGGGCCAGAAGCCAAAAACCCGGCACAGGCTGCCCAAAATGGCCAGAACGCGAAGAAGCCTCCTTGGGAGCTTACAGAAGAAATCATGTCGGTCCTCAAGACAGCCTTTCCTCTGCTGGCCCTGTCGATGGAGACCATGGTGGACCAGATTCAAAAACACTTCAAGTGCCCACCCGACGAGGATGCCTACCGACTGATTGTTGCTCTACTTAATGATGCTTTGACATATGTTAGCCGCACGCCTCCATCATTTGCTAGAAGTGTTAAACTTCCTTCGGCGACAGAGACCAATATTACGCGATTCGCCGAAACAATCTTGCCGAGCCACATCAAGAAGTCGTTTGAAGCAGACTTTGTGGATGTCAAGCCAACTATGTACGAATACATCCACAAGTTGCGTCGCTGGCGCACCAAGTTCGAGGAGAAGCTGGATCGCCGGATATGCCATACTCCCCTCGAGGCTTTCTCGCCTCACCTGAGCGAGTTCCGCTACCAAAAGTTTGACGACGTGGAAGTGCCGGGCCAGTACTTGCAGCACAAGGACAAGAATCAAGATTTTATTCGCATCGAGCGCTTCTTACCAAACGTTGACCTCGTGCGTTCGATCAGTGCTTCGTATCGGCGTCTTAAGATGCGTGGCCACGATGGCAGTGTTCATTCGTGGGCTGTTCAGCACCCAGCCGCACGGCACTGTCGCCGTGAGGAGCGAATTCTACAGCTCTTCCGCCAGCTCAACCAGACTCTGGGACGCAAGAAGGAGAGTCGACGGCGCGACTTGCAGTTTACGCTACCGCTCATGGTTCCCCTGGCGCCTCACATTAGAATTGTGCAGGAGGACACGTCGTACATTACGCTGCATGGCATCTACGAAGATCATTGTCGACGCATGGGGATGCAAAAGGATGAACCTGTCCTGTTCACACTGGATAAGCTTCGCGGCGTGCTGGAAAACAAGGGCCAGGGCAAGCCAGAACTTACGCCGACAGCACGTCTCGAGGTGTTCAACGCGATCCAGGAGAAGTGGGTGCCACCGACGGTTGTCTTGGAATACTTCCAGCAGATATTCCCTCAGTTTGCCGAATTTTGGCTGTTCCGTCGGCAGTTCTCGTACCAGCTGTCGTCACTCACGTTTATGACGTATATTCTGTTTATGCACAACCGGTACCCTGGCAAGATGAACATTGCGCGGGGGTCAGGCAACATTTGGGGCTCGGAGCTCATGTCGTTTATGGGAGCCAACAAGCCGTTCTTCCACAACCCTGAGCCGGTGCCGTTCCGGCTCACGCCCAATCTACAAACGCTCATGGGCCCGCTGGCGACGGAAGGTATCTTTGCGTGCGCCGTCATGGCGATTGCGCGCTGCCTGACGGAGCCCGAGGACGAGCTGGAGCATGCGCTGACGCTATTTGTGCGAGACGAAATGATTTTCTGGCTCACGAGCAGTCACCGCAACGGGATTAGCGAGAGCCAGCTGCGCGAGTCGGTGCAGGTCAACAGCGACTCGATTGTGAAGCGGGCAGCGAGCCTGGCGCACAACCCTTCGGGCAACTTGCCTGCTAACCAGACAGTCATTGATGCGATCGCCCAGGCAGTGAACCCAATGAACCTGGCGCAGTGCGATGTTCTGTGGATGCCATATCTGTAGTGGATGGCACAGTTTTCTTTTACAGGTTGTTGTAATGGTCATGGTGATGAATGATTTGATTATACGAGGACTTGATTTTGCGGTTTCCCGTGCTTCCGTGTTTCGGCTGCACCCAAAACAAGGCGAGGAGTTGGCGGAGGATTTATGTCCCTGATAAACGGGGCTATTGCATAGGTTATTAGTTTGTTTTTTATTCAATATGGCGTTGATCGCATACTGGCTCTATGCAACGTGAATATTCTCCGAACCTCGTGGGCGATTTCCTACAGTATAGACGCGAAACAGACAAAGAAAGGTCGAGAGGGGTCACGGAGTGGCACTAGGGCGAGATACACGACCGGTCAGTGATGTACGAATGAACTATTATGCTAAGTTACAGCTGTTTAGCCGGCATCTGTGTGGCCATCTATTTTGTCACATTGACGAAACAGCCAATGTCTGTCGAGAGAGTGGAATAGTCGGGGAATTCGGTGATGGCATTTCAGCCTCCAGGGTAGCGAGATAAGGCGGGAAACAAGGACTTGGTAGAATGGGTAGTCTATAATTCTATACAGTGTATTAAAAAGCTTTTAGGGAAAAGGGGAAATAGAATAAGAAAAATTCAAAGGATAAGAGAGACTACAAGAATAAAAAAACAAGAATGGTAAGAGATGATGATGATAAAGAATAAAAGAATAAGGAATATAGTAGTAGTATGATGCACAAACTTCCCTCAGTAAGCTGCGAAAACAGGAAAATACCGCGGTCTTTTCTCTCGGTGATTTGGCCGGACCCCCCGCCCGTGTGGGATCGGATGGACGTACACCGGACACTGGACACCGGATATCCAGGACATCGATCCCAAGACTCGTTCAATTTGCTAGACTACGGGCCTTTTTATGTCTTCTACGACGCCCACCAAAGCCTGCGTGCCGTGTCGCGTGCGCAAGACAAAGTGCGACGCGGCGGCGGCCGGCCTTCCGTGCAGCGGCTGTGTAAGCCGCAACTGCGCAGAAAAGTGCGTGATTTTGACGCGCAAAAAGCGCAAAAGGTGGGTACTTTATGTAAATTGGAAAGGACCAAAAAAAAAGAGAGAGAGAATGTCCGAGCAAGGGAGGGGCTGGCTGATATAGCAGTAGGCCCGGTGAAGAAGATGAAGAAGAAGAAGCCGCGGAGAGCGGCGCCGCCGCGGTCTTGTCTCAGCAGCCTCTCACTACGACGGTGAGTTTTTTTTTTACACGCCTTGTATTCAAAAGAGCACTTACGGGTGGACAAACCTCGCTCGTGAGATATATGATACTAAACGTTGAATGTGTTCAAGGGAAGCAAGGCGCAGCCCTGGTCGCACAGCCCCGAGGCGCCTACCCCCGACTCCCTCGACAAGCGGCAGTCCCAGCTGCACTACTTTTGCATCCTGCGAGACGCCGTCGACGACGGAGCGCTTGACGATCAGGACGATGCGCTCGGGACGCCGCTCGGCCGGCAAGACCACGACGACGACGCGCCTCGGCAGCGGGCGCCGCAACTAGATGACGCGGACAGGGAGTATCTCGACAAGAAGGGGGTGTTTGACCTGCCACCCAAGCCATGCCTGCATGTCACCTACCATTCTTAATAACCCTCGATTGCCCACTAACTTGTGTGCGCGCGCAGAATCGCCCTCGTCACCGTCTACTTTGCCATGCTGGAGCCATACGCGCCCATCATCGACAGGGCCGACTTTGCGCGCCAGTTTGACGCGGGAACGTGCTCGCTCTTCCTGCTCTACGCCATGCTGGCCACGGCGAGCCTCTACGTGCCCGGCGCGGTGATTGACGCGTGCGGCGCCTTCGCCGGCAGGGCCGAGGCGCAGGCCGCCTTTGCGGCGCGCGCCGCGCTGCTCTACGACTTTCAGGTGGAAACCGATGCGCTGACGCTGCTGCAGGGCTCGCTCCTCTTGACAAAGGTCCTCCCGGAGCACCAGACGGAAAAGGACTCCAACTACTGGTTCTACAACGCGCTTCGCCTGGCTACCCGGCTTCAGCTCTACAGCCGGTACGTCCAATCCCAATTTCGCCTGTTTGGCTGCGGCACTGACACAGGCAAAAGGTTACATCGGAGTGCGAGGCCGGATGGGAAATCGGGATTGTATTCGCGGATTGCCTGGGCTCTTCATGTAAGTCGCTGCTCCGCGTAGCACGGTTTCCTATGGTTTATGCTGCGTTTTTTCTGATTCAACACAAGTGCCGCCATGTATTCCATCTCGTGTCCGAATTCCGCAACGCAGCGTATTTACATGGTCTTCCAGACTTGGAACCGCCCAAGATGAGCGACTGGAGCATAGAACGGATTCCAAAACAATACCGCGACATTGTGCCTCCCACCACTAGCCAGCAGAAAGCCTTGTTCATCGCCATTTGCAAGCTGGGAACCATATGTGAGCCCATGCCGCCTCCAACCTCGCACTATCACTACTCCGTACACATTCTAACGGAGACGAATGAGACACTAGATGGCGAAATCCTGCCGCGTATTGTGCAAGATCCGTGTGTTGATCTCGCGCAGCTCATGCGGCCACTGGAATTCTGGCGCATGTCGCTTCCCACGCAGTTGCAGCTCGGCGACCAGCCGCCCAACAGCAACATCCACCACCTCGACGTACTCGGCACCAGCTACCGGTACGAGGCCACGCTGTGCCGCCTGATCCAGCGGCAGCTCCGGTCCGTGGACGCGGCGAAGAGCAGCCTGGCCAAGCAGCGACTGCGCTCTGCGATGCTCGAGCTCGACGGCATCACGGGAAAGCTACTGGCCAACGACATGATGAACAAGATTCCCATCTCACTGCAAGTATAGCCCCCCGTGTACAACGACGCCGCACCAGCTGACGTGGCAAATCCCTCTCGCAGAATGACGGCCGTGCCGTCCCTGCTTGCGCTGCACGTCGAGGCGGCGCTGGACCCGTCCGAGTCGGAGCTGGCCCGGTCCATGGCGCGCCTGTCCATCAGCCAGGCCATGCTGGCGCTGCACCAGCTGCGCGAGATACCGGCCATTAAGAAGGCGCTGCCGCTCTTTGAACTGATACTCTCGCGGAAGAAGCTCCATGGGAACTACAGCGGCGCGCCGCCAGAGGCCGCCGGGGATGCGCAGTGGGACGGGGCGGACGTGGTGTTGCGGTCGGAGCAGCAGGGTGGTGCCGAGACGGACGGCGGCGTGTCTTTTGATTCGTTTGTCCAGGAGTTCTTGGAGTACGACACGCTGGGCCGATGGGAGTTTGGACAGCTGGACTTTTCGCGTCTCGTCTAGCCAATGACGGATGACGTGCTGCGATAGATGTATACTATTGACTAGTTATTAATAGTGAATACTTGCCTGGAAGAGAAAGAGAATAAGTGTTGGAGTATACACCACGGCCCCTTGGTATTGAGAACGGCGTGGTATTAAGGGCTGTGCTGTGTGAGCTGACACTTGTTTTCCATTTCCGCAGGATTTGAAGACTAATCGGCACACGGCATAAACGCAAGACCTTGCAAAGGCGATTGGGGTCATTCTTTCCCATGTCGTTGTCATTGTATATGTACACTTGTATCGGAAATCGCGGAAATAGGTAGTACATGATGCATACCCAACGACTGGGGCGAGAAAGCAAGATACGTCACTATGCTATGCTTGAATTCACAGAGAATACTTCTTACACTACGAATTACTTATTGTTATATTCGCTCAGCTGTTCTTTCAAGTCGTTAGTATTCCATATGCCGACCTAGTATAGTATCCGCATACCCCCACCCAGGGTTCGGGGAGAAGAGCGATTTCGGTGGAAACAAGCGGAATAAGGCGACGAAGCTGACCGGAGCTATAAATTGTGGTAATGGGTAGTAAGATGCGACTCACTCGGGATACATCTTGCCGAGGCATTTCCCTGTCAATGTGCCGTCGACCAGTCGCCGGAAATCGGCTCGAACCGGATGAGCGGGACCAATCAACCGGAAGAGCGGAGAGCGACACTTCATTCAACCAAACCATTGATTTGTTCCGATCCCAGTGCACAGCCGCTGGCTTGTCGCTAGTGTCTTGGGGACCGAGTATACCCCAGACAGAACCCCGGACAGACCGGGATCGGAGGTGCGGAGACCGGACAGCCATGTTGTACAACTACCCTGCTACACCCAGACACGAGCGTCTATTCCTAGAACAAACAACAGTACCAAGTTGTTTCTCGTGCTGATTCTAACTAGGACACACTATGGATCTGGAAACCATGCCGCGCAAGCTCTGGGAGCATCCCAACCCCAAAGAGACGGAAATGTGGCGGTTTATGCAAAGCTGCAACGACCGCTTCGGCTTAACCATGCAGGTACGCAAGCCCGCCCGGGGTTCTCACCCCAACCCTCTACCGCTCGTGCTCACATATTTTTGCTTCCCTTTTCTCTCGCACCAGACATTTGACCATCTGTACGCGTGGTCCTGCACGCGGCGCGCCGACTTTTGGGGCGCCGTCTGGGCCTCGCAGCGCGCCATCCACGAGGGCAGCTTCGCGCGCGTCGTCGACGAGGCCGTGCCCGTCGACGGCCTGCCGCGCTGGTTCGACGGCGTGCGGCTCAACTTTGCCGAAAACTACCTGTACCGGCGCGGGTGGGAGCACGGCCCCGGCACCCGCGGCACGCGCGACAAGGAGGACGCCAAGCTGGCCCTCACCGAGGTCCGCGAGGGCGGCGCCGACGCCGCCCGCGACGTCACCTGGGGCCGGCTGCGTCGCGATGCCGGCTGCTTGGCATCTGCGATGCAGGCCCGTGGCGTGCGCAAGGGCGACAGGATCGTCGCCGTCGGCGCAAACTCGTACACGACCCTGCTCGTCTTCCTCGCCGCCACTTGGCTCGGCGCCCTGTTTAGCAGCAGCTCGACAGACATGGGCGTCAACGGCCTGCTGCAGCGCACGACGCAAATCGACCCCAAGGTGCGCCCGGTTGCTTCACACACTAGAGAGTCGGGGGGGACCCTAATGCTGACAACTCGTTGGTGTTCCTAGTTTGTCTTCTTCGACGACGCCGCCGTGTACAACGGGCGCAGGATCGACCTGCGCGACAAAATGGCCGGCATGCTCACCGGGCTCATCGCCGAGTGCCGCAGCTTCGAAGCCATCATCTCGATGCCGCGCTTCCCCACGGCCGGCCCGACCGGCCACCTCGGGCCGCGCGTCGAGCCGTGGGCCAGCTTCCTCGCCGCCGGCGACTCGTCCCCTCCCGAGTTTGTCCGCGTCGGCTTCCAGGACCCAATGGTCATCTACTACTCGTCCGGGACGACGGGGGCGCCCAAGGCCATCGTGCACGGCGTGGGCCCGATGCTGCTGACGGGGTACAAGGAGAGCATCCTGCACCGGCGCATGGACCCGGCCGACGTGGTGCTGCAGTACACGACGACGGGCTGGATCATGTACATGTCGAGCGTCGGCGCGCTGATTGGCGGCGCCGCGTCCGTCCTCTACGACGGCAGCCCGCTGCTGCCCGACGCCGGCGTGCTCGTGCGCCTCGTCGCCCGCTACCGCGTCACCGTGCTCGGCGTGAGCCCCCGCTGGATGGCCGAGCTCATCAAGAAGGGCCTCGCGCCGCGCGACATGGCCGACGTGTCGACGCTCAAGGTCGTGACGTGCACCGGCATGGTCCTCCCGGATCAGATGTTTGACTGGTTCTACGACGTCGGCTTCCACAAGCACACGCAGCTGGCCAACATTAGCGGCGGCACCGACATTGTACGTCCCTGAATTTGCTCTCTCTCTCTCTCTCTCTCCAACGTCTTACCCCCGCTGACCCCTCCCCCAAGGCCGGCTGCTTCGTCCTGGAGAACCCGCTCAAGCCGCTCTACCGCGGCGGCTGCATGGGCGGCTCCCTCGGGGTGCCCATCGCCGTGTACGACCACGACATGGACGACGGGAGCGCCGGGCGGCCGGTCCCCGCCGGCACGTCGGGCGACCTCGTCGCCACGGCGGCCTTCCCCAACACGCCGCTGTACCTCTGGGGCGATGGGGCGACGGCGCCGGGCCCCAAGTACCGCGGCGCCTACTACGAGCGCTTCCGCCACGTGTGGGCGCAGGGCGACTTTTGCCAGGTGCACGTGCGCACCGGCGCCGTGCTCATGCAGGGCCGCTCCGACGGCGTGCTCAACCCGAGCGGCGTGCGCTTCGGCAGCGCCGACATCTACGCCGTGCTCGACCGCCACTTTGCCGCCCACGTCGCCGACAGCATCTGCGTCGGCCAGCGCAGGCCCGCCGACCCGGACGAGCAGGTCCTCCTGTTTGTGCTGATGCGCGCACCGGGCTCCCTGACGAGGGCGCTCGTGGCGGATATCAGGGCGGCGATTGCCCGGGAGCTGACAAAGCGGCATGTGCCCAAGTATATTTTTGAGATTCCTGAGATTCCGGTATGTCGGCCCAAGTCTGTGTGTGTTTGTGCTTTGTGAAAACTGACGCAAGGTGGGTAGACGACGGTGAATGGTAAAAAGGTAGAGCTGCCCGTCAAGAAAATCATTTGCGGAAAGACGGTCAAGCCGAGTGGCACGCTGCTGAATCCAGGCAGCCTCGACTACTTCTACCGATTCCAAAAAATCGAAGAATTGACGGAACCACAGGCCAAGCTGTAGAGCATGTCGATAACGATGTACTGTGTAGATGCTGTGATTTGACTTGTGATGAGCGCATCAGCGCTACATATAGAACGAATAAACAGATTAATATCGAATATTGATAGTACAGCCTAAAGATAGAAATAAAACTACAAATAATTATAATTACCAGCGACACCTCAGGATGGATCGCCCATGCGTGTCAAGCCCCGTCATCGCCTCTCTCCCGGACACTACAGTCCCGGCCGCTCCTCCTTCTTCGCCAGCTTCTCTGGAAACCTGCCTCCATTCACACCATACCGCCATCCCAGGTACCCCATCATGCCGCCGACGCTCCCCAGCCCCGCGGCGCCGACGACGCCGCGCCACCCGNGCCGTCGCCGGGC